AATCCCAATGATGTTTAAATGGTTTTCTAAAGGTTAGAGAGTAGGGCAGCAACGATTAGTCGACTGATCGATGACTAATCAACTATTATAAAAAATTGGTGACTATTTTAGTGGTTGACTAATCGGTTTGGTTCATGTTTCAGAGAAAAGTACTATAAAAGTACCCCAAAATACTCTTATTGCAGCTTCTTATGTTCAAATATTGGCAGCTTTACACACTCTCCCATGATGGTGAACTAAAACCCTTTGGCGTGAGTACGAAACAAGACATTAGATGACATCATTTTGGGGTTTGGGAGAGACAGACCGACATTTTTCAACATTTTAACACATTTTTCCATAAAATGATTAGTCGACTAATCAAAGAAATAATTGACAGATTAGTCGACAATGAAAATAATCGTTAGTTGCAGCCCTATTAGAGAGACACTTTTTCAGCTAGAGGACTTGGCTTGTACTCTGTATTTGCTGAAACGTCCTGATGCAAGGTATTAAATCCTAAAAAGCACAGCTGTAGGAGCTCACTGATAGGATAGAAGTGTTCCTGTTGTATCAGCAAAGTATTAACGTTGTTAATAATTGTATAAAGGTTTGTAAAAAAGAAGGATATGAGGCTTTCCAAAGTCCCTTTTTGTTTCTCATAACTGGCCCAAGTCATTGCATTATATTGTTTTCAGATTAATTTTAGTTTAGATGAATATGTTTGAGAATGTTGCAGAGAAAAGTTGCAGCGGTGTAAACTGGCTGTCTCATCTCCTCATTCATATTTTAAGAAGCTGCAAATTATATTCAGCCACAAAACAAGCCTGAAAAGCTGGAAATCAGAACAGAAGTACAGAGAGTTGTTGCATAGAGATGATACACCATCTCATCTAGTTGCATTGGTGTGAACTAGCAGGTGTTTGGAATGTTGCAGAATGACGCATTACAAGTAGTTGCCTGTTTCAACTCGTCTTCTGAACTGGGCTTTAAGCCTCTGCAGTAATGATAGCCATGGGCAAAGGCATTATTGTTTTCAGGTTGTCAGTTCGTCCCATTCTTGTGAACGTGATAACTCACACTTGGACTCAAGAATGAATTGATTAGAATTTGGTGGTCAAAGGTTACTGTGATGTCTCAAAACATTGGCCTCAAGTAAAGAATTCATCCAATAATTATGACAAATTTCACTGAAATGTTTAATAGGATCAAATGATGAAGCACTAACATTTTATATCCAAAAGGTCAAAGGTCATTTGGTCAGATACTGAATTGGTAGCACTAATCTTGAGTGCGTGGTTTGCAGAGGCATACAACTGCAAAGCTGTAATTCTAGTTATTAGCCTGTATTTGAACCTTTTAGGAATATTCCCATTGAGATTCACAGTCTCTTTTACAAGGACTCCTGGCCCAAACAGAAGCACAAAAATATTCATATAAAAGGGCAAACAACAGACTAAAAACAAACACCAAATCACACTGAATAATGAAGCAGCAGTGTTCAGTACCAGGATGTGTGCATTCAGTGGTGAAATAGTCCTTAATCCTGTTTTTATAATCTCCCGTGCATATGAAATTATCTAGTTTAAGGTGACTCTGTATTCCACCCAAGATGAATGTGCAAAACTTTAAAAGCACTTTAACCAAAGTCAGTGCACGTTCGAGGAATGATGAATATAATTTGTCTGCATGACCGAATGTTGAAGCTACTAATAATTTTAGAGTCACTTATCAGTTGAGTGGAATTAGCTGCTTTCAGTGTTGTCACATGACTTCTGTTCTCCACCTCATGCTGTCCACTGAAACAGAATGTGTTACTGAATTAATGTTAACATGTTGCTCACCTGTGTGTGTTTGCCTGTGTTTGTTATTTAAGGCAAATGTGGAGGGACACAACTGCGACCGCTGTAAGCCAGACACGTTTGGGTTGTCGGAACGAAACCCGCTTGGCTGCAGCAACTGTTACTGTTACGGACTGACACACTCCTGCACAGAGGCACAGGGGCTCATCAGGATGTGGGTGAGTAGACATCATTTCTTTCCTGTGTTTAAGTTTTTGGCTTTGAGTGAGCCTAAACAACACCTTAGTCTTTGGCCACATTTATATTTTAAACAGTTCGCACTTGAATTTTAGAGCAACAGCTAAGTGTTGTGTTGAGACTTTGGACTGAGAGTGAGTCAGTGCCGCAAAACAACTATTGGGGAAACTTCATTTAGACTCCCTAAATAAAGATGTTCCATTAAATGTGTTAATTAACTGAAGTGATGGATGAAATATTGCCCCATCTTGTCCCAAACTCTGCTGATTATATTCAGTGTATAATAAGTTTATAGAGTAGTTTCTGGTCTGCAGCTCTCTCGCCTCTAATGTGTTATCCGTGGATCTGACCAGCAGTTGCCTGTAAGCTGTCCTCGCCGTACACACTGTGTGTGCCAGCTTCCTTGCTGAGACAACACATTTGACAGCTGGCTGCCTACAACTGACTCTGCATTATGCCAATGTTGTAAGCTTCATGTTCTTCATTAATCATTATCTATGGATAATTGGAAGCTTGCTCAAATATTTAAAGTTAATAGATCCCACTTGATTTCCGGCCAGTAGAAGATCAGTGATGCCCGGTAGTTTTTTGCAGCCAGGTTACAAATATTAACAAGAAAGAGAGGGTGTGCTGATGCTTACAGAGATGAGATAGGTGTGCTGTGTTTTAGATTGTCTCTTGCATAATCACAATTTAACACTGGAAAGAAATTTGGTGTAATTATTCAAATAGGAAATTGTAATAACTACATACCATTCTATGTAGTGTTCTCAGTGGCCTCCTCGGGGCGCTGTGGGAGAGTTAGAAGGGGAGGTGCAGAGGGAGAAACGTGAGGTGTATTTGAGTTAACGTTGTACTTTTTCTTGAGGCAAAAACATTGTACACGCAAGTATGTGAACGCAAATGACAATGCCTGGCCCAGCTGGTTCCATACACCCAAACCAGCTGAACATACCTTACACATGCTCCTACGCTCTTGCGGTTGTAACAAGCATCAGTCCTCAAGCTGGCGATATGCAGCTAATCAGAGTGTTTCCATAACTACAGTAGTAAACAAATACAGCGTCTGTGGACAAACTGTGGACAAGAAGGAAGAGAGAGAGGAAACGAGACAGCGGGATGTGTGTGACAATGTGTCGTGGTGTCAAAAAAAAAAAAAAATGAAGATGTATACAGACATTGTCAGCGAGAGCTTCGTCAAACTGGTCAGTCGTTGTTCTGAACAGAAGTGAAACCAAACAGAAGGGGTCTCTTGTTGTTTCATGCTATGGTGCACCCTGGGGTCAAAAGTCATACCGCATCTTGCACTTTTGTTGTTATGATTTTCAGGTGAATCTTGAAGCTTCTGTGTTTGCATACTTGGACCACGTTTCTGCTTTTGCTTTGGTTTTAAACAAGACATGGGAGCGAAGTGAAGCAAGTTGATTTTCCATAAAGAGCTGCTCAGTTATGTTCGGCGGCCATGTTAACCGATTCGGCTGTTGACACTGTATGAGTTGCAATGCCAAGCTCTGCTGCCAGCTTGTGAGGTGCGAATGAATCTGCAAAGAAAACACACAGATATTCTGTTATGAATGTATATATAAAGGATATATTACATAAATGATCTGATCCTTATGAATTATGGAATATGTTTTCCATGCTCACGTATTCCACATATTCTCTGTCTAAACAGAGAGCAAAAGATAAGTAAAGAGAGACACACACGCACGCACGCACGCACACACACACACACACACACAGCTATGCTTGTGATTAGTAAAAGTCAGAGGAGCAGAATCACTTGCTGACTGACGCACAGATATACGCTTCTGGTGTGAACAGCCAGGCGACTGCTTGCTTGACAGTTGACATATCGTAGCGCCTCTGTGTCCAGTGTGAACATGCCACAGGACTCAAACACTGGCAGCAAAAACATTGATGTCACTCAGTGTTACTTAAACTTTCCAAAGATATTATGTCTCAGATGTCTATAGGGAATAAAAGTCCACAGATTTTCTTAGAAATAAGCGAAAAAAGAGGATTCAGTAAGTCTCATTGTCTTTACATCAGTGGGGACTTTGCAAACAGGAACTGCTAATAGATAATTGGGGATAGTTTTAATGGTGCCACTTTGCCAACTTGTTAAAAAAAGAGGCTCAAAGGAGAATATGGAGAATCCTGGTAGTTGACATTCCACCAGCCCATTTGATGAGCTTTGCTGGTCCTGCTCTCTTGATGGCTTTAATTTTTTACTTTCATTATTTGCTAATTTGCACTAAACACAAAGTAAAGCTGCGGCCGATGGCAAATTAAAATTCCAACTAAATGGTGTTTTCAGTGTATTCAAGACTCTCATTGCCTGATTGGTCTATCTTATCTGAAACAAGCCAATCTAAAACACAAATCTAAGGCACATTCCTCTACACATCTGGGGGAGCCTTTAAACCTTTTTTGTGTCTGTCCACGTCCTTTCTTGCTTGTCCATTGTACCGACGTACCTGAGATAAACTTTTTTAGTAGCATATGGATGTCAGTCCCTATTCCTGCCTACCTAGACTTTATTGTGATATCCTGATGAATTTTAGCACAGTATGCACATTTGTCCTGTCTTTTAATTTATCAAATTATATCAATCAGTCAATTAGATGAAATATTCTGGGCATCAAAAAAATTATTACAGGTTATCCAGAGGTGGATGTGAATGTCTGTACAAATTGTCAGTAAGCTATCCAATAGCTGTTGAGGCATTTCACTTAAAATTAGAAATGTCAGTCTCATGGTGGTGCTAAAGTAAAAACACCACATTGTTGGGAACCATAAATGTCTATACAAAAGTGTGGGCAAATTCATCTGGTAGATATTGAGATATTCTCCTGGATATATGAAAACTTGAGGGTAATTCGGGTGACCGTTGACGTCATTAGGCTTCATCTTCCATCCTAGCCCAGCTCAGTGTTGGCTTGCTTCCATACATTATATTACAAACCTGAGGCCGAGCATCACAGACAGCAGCTGTAAGTCAGAAACAGAGGTACGCCAGCGTTGCACACACCATCACACAGTCAGCCGGCAAGTTAGCAATCGATTGTTGAGTGGCAGCCTGTTTTTAATAAAGGCCCTTCATCTCAGAAACGGTTGCCATCGGCGATAAACTGCTGTTTCCGTGGTAACCGTGGAGTTTTCTGATGGAGTGTGGCGAGAGGCTTCATTTGAACGACAAACATTCACTTCATTTATTGTTGACAGAGAGAGAGAGAGAGAGAGAGAGAGAACCGGACGGAGAGAGAAAGACAGAAAAAATGGAGAGTTTATTGGAAAGAGGGAGATTTTCTCTGAACCACTGAATCGTGAGATTACACTGAGTGGAGTGGGACACACACACACATACACACTCTCACCATATCTAGACACCATACACATACACTATACAAACACAGTACACATGCCTTTTACATACACAAACACACACAAAAACTCACACTACAGGGGATTACACAGAGCTAAGGGAAGAGACACACACACACACATATCCTGCCATACACACACACACACACACACACACACACACACAGAGCCATTTTTGTGATATTTATCTCTGACGGGAGAACTGTGCGTGTGATTGGACGACTGGTGGTTAAATACTGCTGCAAAGATCTGCACTAATAAAATAAAGTAAAAATCTTTAAAGAACTGAGATAAGATGAAAGAAATGATAAGAGAAGAAAAAGGAAAATACCTTCAAGAGGATGCTCCTCTTAAAGAACAGTGGGGTTTTGCCCTGCACAAATTGCAGCACTCTCTAACAACATTATTAGAGCTGCTGAGCTGAGGAAATAAAGGAAACGTTAAGAACAAAGACCTGAGCAGGCAAAATGGCTACTTATACCTGAAAATCAATAACTGTTAAAACACAAGTATATGAACTCTTGAATTTGTATCAGTCCCCAGATATCCACCATGTGATGTGCACGCAGTTGCAATTTGGTCGTTTCCATTAAGCACCACTCATGTCTGACAAACATTTAAGTAACAGACACTTACCTAAATAACAGAAAGCCGTGACTTTAACAGAGAGAGATGAGGCCAACTATGTTTTGTATTATCTGTCTAAGGATTTTGTAAATAGTTGAAATAGATCAGGAATCAATTATCAGCTGAATTCATTGTTATTAGTGATGGCATGCTGTGCACACATTAGGAAATGTGTACAAACCCTGAACTATAAAGTAAAACTTCAGTTAAAAGCCTAGTCCCAATTAAATGCCCAGTCCCTAGCTTGGTGTGGCTACACATCTTGACTAATAAAGGCCTGTCTCAATTAGAGTCCTGGTCTGATTGCCAAGCAGGTAATTTTTTTTTTTTCATTGAAGGTCTTCGGACCTCAATTTATGTGTCCATTCCTCAATTATCCGGTAAGTTATTCATATTCCTTTAGTCCGTAAGGGTCCACTGATCAAAAGAATCAAAAAGGTTTGTCATGAAAAATACATCCAAGTTCTGAGTATTGTTTTAACTGGATAAAGTGGTGTTGTGTCAGTGTGCCTGGTGCTGTAATCCTTGAGTGCTGTAACTCACTCTCTCTCTGATGTGCTGTCTGTCAGAGCTCGATCAAATGATTCACAATTGATATATTATCTTTTAAAACAAGTAATATTCATACTGGTTTGAATAAACAAGTAGTAGGAGTATTGATGGCACTTACAATTAAGGACTTCCTAGATACATTTTTAATTGCCAGAGGGACTCTGTAGCTCCTCACAGAGCTCAAGAGCTCAATCTGAATGAAAACAGGATGGGAGCTATTTGCTATGACATTCCTTGCTTTCTTTCTTGTCCTTCCTGTAAGCAAATCTTCACATCCTAGTATAGCGAAGAAATGGCCTGCTTTACTCTGCCTCTGATTGGCTGACATTCTTATCCTAACCCTAACCAATCCCACCCCTCTTGCCTAAACCAGTGGTTCCCAACTGGCCCAGCCCTATGGTCCAGAGTTCTCCTTAGTCATTAGTTCAAGCTTAATATGTTCAGCGTCATACTTGCGTTTGACCATGTTGTCAAGCTAGTTTGCTGTCTCTGTCAAGTAGTTGTCCATTAATCGCTCACTCTGCAGCAGGAAACTGCACTTCAAAATTAAAGCTCTGTACGGGAAAGTCACTGCACTTTAAAAACTCAATTGCCGCCCATAAAGAATGGACCCGCCACTCACTTTTAGACCGCAACCCACCAGTTGGGAACCACTGAAGGCAATGAGTTCTAACCAGTCATAGGGAGAGTAGGGTGGGTAATTCCTTCGCTATCCAAGGATTTGCAAAATTTCTTCCTGTAAAGAGTTAGGTCAAGGACTTTTGTGGGCTGCCAACTACACAGTCCTAGAGAGTTTATTCTTAGATGTACAGGTTAGGTGACCTTACCAGGCAGGAAGGTGAAAAGTTATATCCTCCCTAAATAATTTCCTTTGGTTTGGATTAATGTCCAAGTATTTCTACTGAACATCTCAAATTTAGATTTGAGATGACACACTCTCAATTTAATTTTTTTGAATTCATTTGAAGTAACACTGAGACAGAAATTAACAATATCCCATGTGCGAATGCAGCCAGTATTGATAGCGTGTCCAAACTGCAGGACAGTAACTTCATAGTTCTTTCCAAAAGCACTCTTCTATTATGTGTCACATATTACCCACACAGCATCAACATGTCAGCACTGGAGGACTACAGCGACAGAGAGAGGCAGAGATCCAAGCTCCAGCAGATGAATCTATTTTAAATTAGTCCACTCAACCACAACCCACAGTCAATAATAAACCCTGATATTATTCAAGTAATATTGAAATATCAACATATAAAGTGGGAGTCTGAGAGAATGAGAAAGAAAGAAAGCTACATTTTCTCCAGACTGTGTCTTTCTCTCTGGCATGTCAGTCATATTTGAGTTATTACTGACAGACTGACAACACCAGTTTCAAGTTATATTCAGAATGGAAAAATTATTTGCAAAGTCACAACACAATCAGCAGGAAAAATTACAGACTTGATGATTTTCTTATTCACAATACCTCTATTAGAAAATACTGGGTCTTATTCTTACTGAAAGAAGACAATCAGTAAAACATTTATGGCAGGAGAGCCACTTCTGCTGCACTGAAAACAGTGCAAAATATCAAAAAAAGCTGTTTTTGTTTTTCATGCCGTTAATATCTCAAATGTCACACTTTTGCCGGGGTACATAAGATGCATAATCACACATTAAACTGTTCAGGTGTGACTCGACTGAGGCCGAAGGAGTGAAGGTGTTTTGTTACGCAAGACGTACTGTGACTCCAGCAGCAGGATTGCTACTAAATGCCATCAGATTCAGCTGAAGAGTAAAGATCGTTGTCTATAAAATAGCAGACTTCACTAGAATTCCTATAGGTATACCTGTTCATATTCATTCGGCTCTTATACAGGAAGGTTCCCACAGAATGTTTGTTATTGCAAAACATGCTGTCTGACAGTGTTTTGTGGACAAGAATGCATCTGGTCCTGTTCTTGTCAGATGTTCGCATTAGAAGTTGCCTTTGTTTGGCCAATTTTTAGAGCTGAATAGATCCATCCTCATTAGTGAAGATGTTCCACAATCTTCTGTGCCCACAGATGAAACAAGGAAAGAAACCAAAGATACTGAAATTTTCTGTAACAAGATCGGAGTCTCAGACAAAAAGCATTTGAAATCGAAGTCTGCCAAAAGAATGGTGAGCATTGTTTGAGTCATCGTCATTAGGAGGTGAGGAAATGAGGAGATTGTGCGACTCAAAGAGAAAAGGAAGACACTGAAAGTACACACATGACTACCGAACTCATGATTTACAGGTCTGTGTTTTAGAATGCAATGTAATTTATGTGGGTTTATTTAGGATTGTGCCACTTGCTCACTCACCGGCCACTTTATTAGGTACACCTTGCTTGCACCAGGTTGGACCCCCTTCGCCTTTAGAACTGCCTTAATTCTTTGTGGCATAGATTCAACAAGGTGCTGGAAACATTCCTCAGAGATTTTGGTCCATATTGACTTGATAGCATCACACAGTTGCTGCAGATTTGTCAGCTGCACATCCATGATGTGAATCACCCGTTCCACCACATCCCAAAGGTGCTCTATTGGATTGAGATCTGGTGACTGTGGAGGCCATTGGAGTACAGTGAACTCATTGTCATGTTCAAGAAACCAGTTTGAGATGATTTGAGCTTTGTGACATGGTGCGTTATCCTGCTGGAAGTAGCCATCAGAAGATGGGTACACTGTGGTCATAAAGGGATGGACACGGTCAGCAACAATACTCAGGTAGGCTGTGGTGTTTAAACCATGCTCAGTTGGTACTAAGGGGCCCAAAGTGTGCCAAGAATCCCCTACACCATTACACCACCACCACCAGCCTGAACCGTTGATACAAGGCAGGATGGATCCATGCTTTCATGTTGTTGACGCCAAATTCTGACCCTACCATCTGAATGTTGCAGCAGAAATCCAGACTCATCAGACCAGGCAACGTTTTTCCAATCTTCTATTGTCCAGTTTTGGTGAGCCTGTGTGAAGTGTAGCCTCAGTTTCCTGGTGTTAGCTGACAGGAGTGGCACCTGGTGTGGTCTTCTGCTGCTGTAGCCCATCTGCTTCAAGGTTCCACGTGTTGTTGGTTCAGAGATGGTCTTCTGCAGACCTTGGTTGTAACGAGTGGTTATTTGAGTTACTGTTGCCTTTCTATCATCTTGAACCAGTCTGGCCATTCTCCTCTGACCTCTGGCATCAACAAGGCATTTTCACTCAGAGAACTGCTGCTCACTGGATGTTTTCTCTTTTTTGGACCATCCTCTGTAAACCCTAGAGATGGTTGTGTGTGAAAATCCCAGTAGATCAGCAGTTTCTAATGTTCAGAGTCCCTTAAATCACCTTTCTTCCCCATTCTGATGCTCAGTTTGAACTTCAGCAGGTCGTCTTGACCATGTCTACATGCATAAATGAATTGAGTTGCTGGCATGGGATTTGCTGATTAGCTCTTTGCGTTAATGAGCAGTTGAACAGGTGTACCTAATAAAGTGGCCAGTGAGTGCATATGCAGTTGCTGTAACTGGCTCAGTTTGTGTCATATACTACATAATGAGAGAAGACTGTTTCTTAAAAAGCATACCACACCCAAATTTACAATATCTGAGTTAATTACGAAATACCAAACCCTGCAATGCTAATTTAACAAGATCTTGTTTACGTTTTCTTTCACTAAGGACGGAACATTAGTTGCCATTTGAAGGTATATCATGCACGATAATCGGATAATCGGTTACTGTAAACAGTATTGTCAGTGAAAGTGAAAGTGAACCCCAGATTTGCATTTCACCTTGCTGTATTTGCTCTTTTTTGGCACTGGGTCAGTATTTTCATAGCTTCCTCTTGGTTATGTGGTGTTTATGGTGTGGCAACTGGGCGCCACATTTTTGTAAAGTCCCGACCTCACCTGCACACTGTACCTAGGAATGTTCTGGGTACACAAAATTAAAAGAAAATAAGAAAATGCTGGCAGAGGCAAAGTCTCTGCTGATAATAGTATATACAGTATGTAGGCCCAGCATGATACACAGTATGAACACTTTCCAGGTAATCAAGATATTCTCTTCAACAAGAAGTATTCAGTTCAACAAAGATCAACTTAGCATCGCATTAATATTCTCATCATCGTGTGTCTTAGTTAACGCTGAAGCCTGAGCAGACGGTGCTCCCCCTGGTGGATAAATCCAACACTATGGAGACGAGGAGAGGAGTGAGCTTCCAGCACCCTGAGATCCTCGCTCACACAGAGCTGGTCACCTCAACTCTCTCTGAACCCTACTACTGGAGACTGCCGGAGCAGTTCAGAGGCTCTATGGTAGGAAAGCTCATTGGGTTCATTTTTATTTTACTTTCTTTGTTTGTTATATTGTAACATATATGATTTTGTACTGTGCCACTTCACTTTTAGAAAACAAGAAAATACAGTGTTCAGTTGTTTTCTACAGAAAGTTAGTTCTCTGACAATCATAGAGATGTACACTAATGTTGGTATCGGCAGATAAAGGCTTTGTCGGAACGGGGAAAACTATAAAATCATCACAGTCTCAGTGATGTCTTCAATCAGCTCTCATCTTTCCTCAGATCACAGCATATGGTGGGAAGTTGAAGTACGCCGTGTACTACGAGGCCAGAGATGAAACTGGTCCTTCCTCCTACGAGCCTCAGGTCATCATTAAGGGTGGTCCAAACCGCAACATTGTGATGACACGCCACATACCTGGACTCCAGATTGGTCAGCTCACCCGCCATGAGATCGACATGACAGAGGTGGATTGAGGCTGTGGATGAAAGTGAAATATTGGAAAAATAATAGAAGTAATATTTGAGTTATGAGTTTCAGGGAGAACGTGTTCTATTAAACACCAACTACAAAAATAATAGACCTAAGCAGAATATTGATTGCACTTATTTTTGGCGAGCTCTTTGGATCAATACAAACAGGGTCTGTTACACTGGTAATAGACGACAGTGGTGAAATTGATTTGTCAATGTGTTTAATGTGTGTGTGTGTGTGTGTGTGTGTGTGTGTGTACACAGCATGAGTGGAAGTACGCAGATGGCAGGTCCATGACTCGAGAGGACTTCATGGATATTTTGTTCTATGTGGACTACATCCTAATTAAGGCATCACATGGCAACTTGATGAGACACAGCCGGTAAAACACACACACACACACACACACACACACACACAGTGGCATGCACCTCCACACAGTGTGGTCCACTATTAAACAGGAAATTGGACCACTGATTAAAGGATAACCTGTGGGGAAAACCTCTCTTTGTATTTGTATCTCAGTGCGTAATGAATTTGTTGTTGTATGGATATATGATGTATCCAGACACATGAGTGCTATTACAAACATAAAAGAAAACCTTTGCAATCGTATGACTGTGTTGTATTAATGCATTTAATTGATTGACTTTTCTCTCTCCCAGTATTTCGGAAATCAGTCTAACAGTGGCCGAGGAAGGCAGACCAACCAGAGAGAGTGAGAAAGCACATCAGATAGAAAAGTGTGATTGTCCAATCGGATACTCTGGACTTTCCTGTGAGGTAGGTGCTCAATTTAACATATGCATGCACACATGCATGACTTGCACATACGTGAAGAGATTTTAACTACAATATGTCCACTTTTCTAAAAGGTCTTCCTGTAAGAATTCTGACACAGAATAAGTTGTAGTAGTCAGCATACCTTAATGTGGTTCCATAGCATTTTCAAGTAACTGTGCTTTAAATTTCCCTCAGTTATTTTCTTTTGAAGAACTGTCAGTGCTGTACGAGTGCAAATGTTGCTAAAAAGGAGAACTGAAAGAAATATACAGTAGGTAGTACTGAGCCAAATATTTTAAAATTGCGAAAATAACCTATCAGTGCTCTCTAGTGGATAAACAATGTAATGAAAACACTGTCTCTGAAAAAACAAAACCCAACCCATAGCTTTTCTGCACTGCAATTTCTGATTGCAACATACACACCAAAAACAAAATCTTTGATAAGCTAAAAGTTTCCCTATGATAAAATCATCATTTAGTGTAGTAGTGAAAACTGGGAGTCATACATTGGTGTCATTTACACTAGGGGCGCTGGGGACATGTCCCCATGACTTTTTGAAATGGCCAGTTTTGTCCCCATCACTTTTTTAAAGCATAATTTGTTGAAAAACGTTCTGAAAAATAGCATCCACCAAGAAACGTTAACTCACAAATAAAAACACTTTGAGAGAGGTTTATGTGCACAATATTCTAAAACAACTGTAAATCCTGCAGGACACAGTTCACACAGTTTCTTTTGTCCAAGTTTTTCATTGTCTTTCTCTCTGTGAACATGAAAACACTTACGAGCTATTAAAGTCCAGGGGTTGAAAAATTAATTAAAATTAATTAATGTTTCATTGATGTGAATAAGTCCCACATGCAGATAGTGAAAGCTACCGTTGGTAACTTTTCAACAAAGTTACTTTTTTCATATTTGCTGAAACTGTCACTTTATTCACACAGCACTAAATGAGACAGATAATCTGTGAAAAAAATATACTCCTGCACCTACTCTATTGCCTTGTAGCATTTCTAATGGCATTACTGCAGCAGAAGAGTCTCTAACGCACAATTCTGTTAATGCATTGCCTTTTTTTCCCCTTAAATGTTTTCAGAAACATAATTTAGTGTACTGTTTAGCTGTGAAATGAGAAGGTTTTTGATCTGGCCACCATGTTGGATACAGTTAAACAGTAGTGCCAATCACCACCCACCAGCTGGTCCAATTGTCTCATTTTACAGCTAAACAGTACACTAAAATACGTTTCTGAAAACATTTGAGGTGCAAAACAGGCAATGTAATAACAGAATCTTGATTCATATTGGATCAGCGCCGCCTTGTTTGACAGTTTGACTGCAGTTTGTGGAGCAGTTGACAATTGGCAATGACTGACGACTGCTTTAAAGACTCCTCAGTTCTGGTTGATGCTGACTGTTGTGGTCTGATTCTAGCGGATGCCATTAGAGGCAGTAGGAGAGGAGGAAGGACATGATTTTTTTTCATAGATTATCTGTCTCACGTCAGTTATTTTCAAAAAAGTTACCAATTGCATCTTTAAAGAGGTTACATTCCCAAACAAAAAATGACTGTAGAGCATATTATGCCTCACATGTGCTGGAGGAGAATAAATATTTGAAAGCAAAACCGACTGCCTGAGATCTTTACTCCATTACATTACATTACATTACGTTCTTATATCTTAAATTGCCACCTGCCGCCTGAGTTTTGTGTTTTTCTTTACAGAAAGACATTTCTATCATAAATTGGTGCATAAAAATTCACTAGTATGCGGGACAAAAAAGTGTGTGATGCTCAAAAATGTTCTGGCAGACCGCCCCGACCCCCCTCCCCAGCAATGTTTTGACAATGCTGTTTTGATGAAACACTTTTCCTGACTCACTGTAATTATCTACTCTGACCTCACACCCATATCACCATTCTATTGCCTAGATCTGAATATTTTATTGAATGTTTTTCATCTGAGCCCTTTTGTCCCACCACCTTGGAGACATGCAAAGTAAATATCAATGTGAAAATGGATCTGAGATGTTTCTGTAACTCACCTACAGCATTTGTAATAAATATATGAGATTAAAGTGTTGCAGCAAAAAGCACAATACATAAAGGGTGGAACATATAATATATCAAAGACATTACAATAAGAAAATACAGAGGAACTGAGTAGTGAGAATATTGCAGAAGACGAAAAGAAAAAGGGTTCATATTGACACAAGTTCAAAACTATCTAACACTACAAACATTAATTACAGCGCCCCCTCTTTCTCTCTCTCTCTCTCTCTCTCAGCACTCGGAGGAATGAATGCTTTTTGTCTGCTCCCTTCACAGTGTAAACATGGAGGTCACACTCGGCTCTCAATAGTATCTCACAAGTTTCCAATTTACATTTAGTTCAGAGTTTTAAGCCTCTGCGACGCCTTTCAGACTCTCTTGTTTTTTGTTTTTTTTTTAATTTTTTTTTTTTTTTGCTTTGCTTAGCTAGGATTAAGCTTCACTGAGCGTCTCCTCCACTCAGTTGTGATTTTGTCAAAGCAATTGACTTTCAGCTGCGTCCAGCTCCTTCTCTTAAGCCACAGAAAGCATATAGCAGTGACTCAATCTTTACTTTAATGAGGATTTTGGAGAGGCAGCTTATGATACACGGAGGCAACAGTTCTGGGCAATTCCGCTGGATGGTGGCGCCTGAGAGTCATTTAGGTATTATTGTGTTAATCTCAAAGGAACACATGAGTTGCCAGCAAACTTTTAACTATATTTTTCAACCTCTGTTTCACTTTGGCGTTTGCTACTTGGAGTGCAGAGGAGCAGACATGTATATTGCCGGGGAAAAAAATTTAGCCGTGTACATAATTTAGAAGCTACAGATACTGTTGAAAAACTGCCAAATGGAAGCCAAATAGCAAGCGGTAGCTAAACTTGAAATGTTCAGGTCATAGAGGTCTTGGCTGACAGATGGCCATTCTATTTGTAGCTGCCGTCGTTGTTAATAAAGTATTTTTAAACGGGCGTTTAGTGCTAGCAGAGGGAACAGATGGCTCTTTAAATGGACTCCATTAATTATTACTGAACAGGGGAGAGAGAGGGAGAGAGAGGTACCTTGCATGTTTGCGTGTGTGTGTGTGTGTGTGTGTGTGTGTGTGTGTGTGTGTGTGTGTGTGTGTGTGCTGCGCTGAGTGGGTGTGTGCATGTGTGCGATCAAAAGTTACTGAAGGGAGTAACTCTTAATTGTGTGTATGTGTGTGAAAGAGAGAGTGGTCAACAGTTGCCTTGAGAAATAACAATTAGGGATAATTATATGGGTCCATGTGTATAGTTGTCTAGTGTGTGTGTGTGTGTGTGTGTGTTCAAATATCAGGCATGGTGCGTGATTACTGTGGGAACACATACGATCAAAATTGTGTCTTGTATTTCTGTGTTTCTGTGTTCTTTCAAAAAATGAAATAAAAATAAATAAATCAGTACTCTCATTATCTTTCTGTCTCTGTCTGCCTGTCTGTTTGTCTGCCTGTCTGTCTGTCTCTCTGTGCAGGAGTGTGCTGCAGGCTTCTACCGTCTTCGCGCCGGTTCCCAGGCATCTGCTCCAGCGTCCAGAGTGCCCACCGCTGTCGGCATGGGCAGCTGTGTTCAATGCCAATGCAGTGGGCACTCTTCCACCTGTGACCCTGAGACATCCATATGCCAGGTAAGTGTGTGTGTGTGTGTGTGTGTGTGTGTGTGTGTGTGTGTGTTCCGCCACTGGAGACCGTCTTACAGCCATATGCCAGGTATCTCCTGGAGAAGAGAGCGAGGTGAGAGAGTGAATGAAGTGTGTGTTGGGGGGGAATGTCAGGTACTGTAATTAGCCCTGCAATAATTAACGACCCCGGGCTCATTCATATTTTGTGTAATTTCCTCTCCTCTGGATCTGACCCAAAGCTACATCCTTACTTTTCCAGTGAGGGGAGAAGATGATCTCATCACAAGCGTATACAATTACAACACATTAAGGCAAAGAAGTCTGACCCGAACAGTTTAACACTAAATGTATTCAGCAGTTAGTTTCAGGTGAGCACCATTACTGAGCAGCACATTCCAGCTGCGACCATATGAAACTGTTGATTTTCTAACTGTTCAGAAATAAGCTCCTGCAGTTTTCAGTGTGAGGTCTTCATTTTTTTTATCTAGTTGTCAAAGTTTTGATGACTGAGTTCTAACTGAGGGAGCCAGTGTATGACTGAGGGCTGCAGAGGGGAAGTGGACAAATAAAACAGCTCACTTCCAGAGTTGCCCACAGAAATTGCTAATTTTAGCTAGCAGCCTAGCATTGATGTCAGAATGCAATTCCCATGACACTCACAGGGTGCCACTGTTGCCAAGTGGCATTGTACGAGTTGTCATACCTAATAGGGGGTGTGCCATATCACCATGTTCACGATAATACTGTTATATTTTTTAACATCATATGAAAACTTCATATCATGATACTTGGGATATTTTGGCTTGTTGACAAATTGATGTCAACAACAAAAGCTAAATTACTAGTGACTCCCTAGTGGTTCCAAAAAGAGGTGCAGTTTCAGTAGTGTGGAATAAACTGTGGCGTCCTGAATGTTTTATGAACAGCCCCGGACTTCTCAGACTCTTTCAGCAAGTTACCACTCAGAGGGAACTCATTCAGCGGCTCCTCTGGCAGCAGCACAGCGTCGCTCCCTCTCCTCTATGCTGTGTTCACACAGGAGTCAGTGTCGTCAAGTGATTTGGTCATAAAACTTTGGTAACTCAATCATTTAGGATTTAGCTAAAAGAAGGACATCACCTGTTGATTTATATATATAAATCCCAGGGGACATGTTTTGTATTTGGGAGCTGTTTAAATGTGTAATTTGTAATAGATTTTATTTTGTTGAACTATTTATATTGTATACAGAATCTGAATCTCACTCTGAGTTACTGTTGTTGCTCACAAACTAAAGAAATGAGAGATCATTTTAGTTTTTACTAAATATTTGAAGGCATACTGTAAAACTTTATCGCTTATTTTGTTGCAATTCTATGTTCTTAAATTGATAAAGAAAAAATTTCACTAATCTGTCATATGTCAAGAATATTGTTATCGTAAAATACCCTGAGACATTGTGATACTATTTTAGGACCATATCACTCACCCCTAATACCTAACCTGACGGATGTTTGTTAGGGGGGTACAGTAGCTAAGTAGTGTATTAAACGTGAGCTATTGGAAGGGAAAGTATTGAAGGGACCACAGATGATCCAGATATAATTCATGTCATGTTCAGCAACCACAAAAAATGTTTCTGACTGTCGCTCTAGGCTCATGGGCTGCACTTTGAGAAACTAAGATTTAGTGTAAGGAAGCAAAATACCAAAGCCTTGGTATGCTCCTCTTTCGGGTTCATTTTGTGTTTGCAAGATACTCTGCTTGCATGTCTTTCGTAAATCCAACTAGTAATATGCACCATCCAGTGGGTAGTTGTTAGGCCTTGATCAGACTTCCATCCCAAATCTGTATTTGGCCCATCCAGATTGTCTTAGTCCGGCCGCTCTGGCTGCTCAAATTGGATTTCAAGTGTCTTTTTATCTTTTGCTTCACTCGCGACACGACAAAGACGATATCAAATCCAGAGTGATGGAATTGCTGAATAAAAGTCATGCTGCCACAAGCAGAGCACTATGGAGGACAGTATGGAGAGCAACAATGCGTAGACAGACGCTAAAATAAATTATCTGGCTGCACTTAGTGGGGAGGCTTCAATACAGGAAAGACTAGAAAGTCCATTTGTCATGCTTCCACTTGAGTAGGCTGTGTCACCATTATAGCTACCTAGTTACTAATGCCTATGTTGTTACCACAGCAACCAATGCAGATAGGTTGGAGATGTCTGGACACATAAATCTGGACAGTCAGTCTCATAGATCTGATTTGAGTAACAAATCCGATTTGTCTGCTGTCTACATTTCACAAGTCCCCATGTGAGAACTTTGGTTTCAGGGAGCAGTTGGTCACATGCTGTGAACATGTCATCGTCAGATTTAATCTGTAAAATCTGTAAAACCCTGGCAGACTGTCACTGTTTTAGCCATGATTGTATGACCACAGTGAAATCTGGTCATACTGTTAGAAAAATCCATCAGCTGAGACTCATTTTGGACAGCTGATTTAATTATGTGTCTTGGTGTGACCAGAGCACTGCTGCACTGAATAACCAGTAAGATAAATAGGTGTAAACACTAGTAAACAAACTGTGAAAGATGCTGGCAGCTGCGTTCTCACGGAGCCTTTTCAGAAAATAGATACTTTCTTTTGCACATAATGTTCAGTATTTTTCTGGAAGACATGAAACATGGCAGGTAGTGCAGGTGGCTCGCATTCTTTCATTAAATAATTGCAGCACTATTACTACTCTTCTGGCTGTCAAGCCATAGTACCACCAAGCGTCCAGTGGAGCTCAGTTTTTAGTGAGAGGCTTTCTCGAGGTGAAGTGCTGGATGGTGTTTGGTCGTGACAGAGTGTGACTCTCTGATTACTGACTGAAGAGCACATAAACAGGACAGCTAAAAGCAATTATGTAAAATGGTTTTCCGTCATTTTCACTCTGATTAATTTAATTAGGAATGTAACCATCATGTTACCGTCCCCAGCTTAATGGAAGATTTTATTCCTTTGATATCCAAAAAGTAGTTCAGTCATAAAATATTTAATCTAATGCTGAGTTCACAGGACGAGCCACACAGCAACCTGCTACAACAGGTGGCCTACGACACCACTTATCCCTCCGCAGAGGACTTGACATCTATTCACACCTGGACCCATCTAACCCTAACAACACACATGATGGCCAGGTGACCACAATGACTTTGTAAGCATCCACACCCACACAGAGTTTAAAGCCTGTGACTCCACACCAGTCCATAAGAACTGAAGAAGCCTCTTGGATGAGAGGTGAAACGTCTTCAAGAAACTCGAACAAGTCCAGTTGCCTATGATATAGCACTTAAGATTACCATGACCTGGATGACTGAGAACCTTCACCAACAGGCTACAAGCATTGTGGTAAAAAGCGAACTGGATACAGTGTTGGAGGCGGGCGTTGTTCTTTCCTATGAAAGTTAATTGGTGGCGCATGAGGCCAAAATATTTTGAATTCCAGGGTGTAAAATTTCCCCGATGTTATGCATCATTGGGCCCATATATGAGCAAGCGCGCTAGAGACTTCACCAGACCAGTGGCTAACTTTTCCAGGCTGAGCTAGCTACCTTCCGATTCAGCCATCCGCTAACATGAATGGGGGATAAAATTATTTAATCATGTGGCTCGTTTAGATTTCCAAATGTTATTGGACAGAATGGATCCTGTCCTGATAGTGAAACAAGTCACTTTGTGGGGGTTGTGACACTCAAAACACGTATCCACTGATTTACAGACGCCTCTTCGACAATGGCCGTGTGAAATTGGCTTCAAAATCCAGCCCACTTCTGATGACCTGGCTACAAGTCATTTTCAGTGGAAGCCGATGACATATAGCTCCAAACTGATGCGTTACACTTGTACTGCATGACAGGTGTGAAAAATCAAAGTTGAGCTGGCCTCCATCTTTTTTCAGCGGTCCAGTCAGTGACGCAGGGAAGGGACCACAACTAACCATGGGATTTTGTTAATATCTGTGGTACTGTTAGTTAGCTTAGGTAGCTGACGGAATGCTAGCTTTCCGTTTACTGTGGGACACAGAGGGATGCAATGAGGCGGCAAAATGTGATATTTAATGGGGCACAGACATTGATATAAAGTATAGATATATTTTGACCATATTCAAACTTCAGATAATGTTCAATCAGTGTGCTTTGTTGCAAGTAGCAGATACACACACACCCATAACAACATAACTACGTCAACAAAAGCTTGTGCAGCACTTCAGTGGTGACTCGGCAATGATGTGACTGGCCAGGCTGTTGCTGTTTTGCTCGTATTGTGAAGCACTATGTGCAGCATGATGGAAACACCTTGAATTAAATCTTATTCTTAATCCTTTGGAACCTGAGCAAATTGGCTTAATTAGAAACATGATTTCAAAAACATAAGTCAGAAAAAAAGAAGAAAGTTAAAAACAAACACAGAATGAAATTACCTGGAAAAAGTGCTAATAATTCCGTACCATAATTTTACATATAATTATCCCTAGCTTTTTTTCTTGTTGTTTTTTTTTTTTAATGGATTTCTAAATCTCTTATTTTTTTGCAATTTGTGGGACATATCTTACCAAGTTGCTCATTGTCTTTTTCCCCTTGTTTTTTAAAGAAATTGCACCAATTTGCTCAGGGTTTAAAGGTTTAAATACTTGTGAAAGGTGTCTGAAAGCAGCACAAGAAAAGTGATGTCTCTCCAGGTTTCAAAGGGTTAAAGGTCTAGTGTTTAGGATTTGGTGGCATCTGGCAGAGAGTTTGCAGATCTGAAACTTCTCCTCTGTGTCAAGGGTGTAGTAGAATTATGATGACCAATGCGAAAACACAAATGGCCCTATCTAGAGCCAGCGTTTGGATTGTCCATTCTGGGCTACTGTTGAACAACATGGTGGAGTCTGTCAAGGAGTCCTGCTCCATATGTAGATATAAACGGCTCAGTCTAAGGTAACTAAAACACAGTGGTTCTTATTTTTAGGTGATTATAAGCTATACTTTAGCTAAACTAAAATTTATTTAGCAGCTAAAAAATATACATGTAAATATTATATACCATTTCTGCTAATATATTCCCCTTAATTCTAAACACTGTACCTTTTAAAGGAATATGTTTGAAGGTATGTATATAAACCGCAAGTCCTTTCATGTTCCATGAGATCGACTGTATGATAGACCTAATTTGGCACCAACACAGTTGTGACAGACAAATGTTGGCTGTAGTAGGATTTAAAGTCACTCAGTATGTCGCTGCACACCAGAAGAGTTGTGCTCCAATATGTTTCCTCTCTAACGTTCTCTGCTTTCTCATTATTTTTATTGTTTTGTTCCTTTTGTTTCCTCCTCTGTTTTATCAGCTCTCCTTCTTTATATTGTTTCTCATTCTAATTTTCTTGTTTCTTTTAATCTGCCCCTTCTCATCTTCTAAATTCTTTCCCCTCTCATCCTCAATTATGTATTTACTCATCCTTTTTCTCCTTTCATCACCCCGCCATTCTCTTTGTCCTCTGTCTGTTCTCTCATTTTTCTTTGCCCCAATTTTCCCCTACACCTCCCTCTTTCTTACCCACCTCTCCTTAATTTCTCTAGTTTTGCCAATTTGTTTCTCTTCCTTTTTTCTCTACCTCTCCCCTCCGTCTTCTCCTCTGTTTGATTTCTGTCTCTCTCTGCCTCCCAGACATTTTTCCCTCGCCCGTTTCCATCTCGCTCTCCATAACGGCGTCATTAGCATTTTTCTAACCGAGCGGGCTAAATTGAAAATGCTAAACGAGTTTGTTTCTGTGGTAATTAGTGGTAACGAGGAACACAGGAAGTTAATGGAAATGACTTGCCTCGTTAGAAGGCAACTTCCTGTTGCACTGATTGAAGTTAGTGTTTTCAACAAACAAGGCGAAACACATAAGACCAAACCCTGGGGAGATGAAGGGGAGGGGGCCGCGTGTTTGTGTACAGTATGTAATGAATTTGTGTGCGTTTACATTGGGTGTGTTTGTATGATTGCGTGCACAGAGTGTGTGTGGGTGTGTGTTGCATCTGTGGGCGTTGGTGTGTGTTTTTGTGTATGGAGCGTGTACATTGTGGAAATGCACTGCATATTTATATAAACACACTGTTTTTTGGCATAGTATCTGTCAGAATACAAATATGAATAGGTATTGTGTTGTGTGTGTATGTGTGTGTGTGTGTGTTAGTCCGTATAATAAGTAAAGAGCTGAAAATAAACACAAACAACTCTGGATATGAAAATATTTTGGATATATTTATGATTGTGCGTGTCATTGTACCCTCGTGGCTCCCCTCATAACAACAGGTGAGTGAGTAGTACACAAGTAAATGAGTATTTCAGATGGCCCGCTCTTGAGGAAGGAAGCTTATTAAACTCTTTGACGTGTGAGATCGCACCTGTCAGCTAACAGCTAGCCAGCCGCTGCTGTGCACGGTCTCACAGCACCTCATCATACAGGAGTGGGACTGGGCTCAAAAACCATTTATTACTGTGCGTGGACGGCTACATTTCCTATCAGAAATTGTCCATGCTAGGTATTTTTATGTGTGTGTGTGCGCGCACGTGTGTGTGCGAAGGCCCCGAGAATGGCTCAGAAACTGTGGGTGGTGAAAAGAAATGAGTAATGACTTCCCCGCTGCTCCGGTAGAGATGCTCAGCACCGCAGAAGCAGCTGCGATCACACTGGGTACTTCCCAGTGACAGTCCGGATGTGTGAATCTGTATGCATGTAAAGACGGCGGCGACTGCTCAATCAACTTTTTTCCCTGGAAAATAAAAGTCATCTGATGTTTGTTTTCATGTCTTTGTCTCGGTAGAAAAACAAATCTAAGAGGACAGGCAGCTCCTGATTTAGAAGAGATTTAAACTGAAATGACCTTTCTGTCAACGTGTTGTCAAACATTTGGAGTTTACCACCTTACAGCAAAGCACACCAGTTATCAAAAGTGCTACTATTATCCAAAATTGTGAAGTGAGCTGACAGCGGGTAATAATATCAGTACGCCATTATTTCTCTTTTTCATACTCGTCATCTAGTCTCGGTATAAATCAACCACTGGTGCCAGGATAATTATCTCACTTGCCAAAAAACAAGCCTCCCCAATGCCACTTTGTCAGTAATCAAGGAGGGGATGATGGGTGACCCCGTCTGTCGTCTTTTCAATTACTCATTGTCGACTTGAGACGAGTAGACACATACAAGGGATTGTACACAGCTTAAGAGTGATACTAATTTCCTCCAACCTCTCTTTTTTTCTCTCTCACTCAAACAAATCTGGCGTCTCATTTTCACTGCGCCAGTGGTGATATTCAAATACAACACACAGATAAAAGTGTAGCTTAACTGCTGTTAATTTAATTTGAAAATTAGTGTGCCTTTTTTTTTAAAAGATGAAAGCTTTCTGGATAAGCAGAAAGAGTTCTCTGTAATTGTGTTACAGCTGTCTTTGCTCACACGCTCAAATTCTTCTTTTAAAACTAACCACACACACCGAGAACTCACGCTGGCTGGAGGATGATGGGAAATGTACCACCTACACACCAGGGCGAGAGTCAGGTTGGGTTACAGAATGAAAACAAGTCGATGCGGCATCTCCACATATATAACATTAATTTCATGCCTGCGTGTGTGTGTGTGTTTGTGTGTGTAGAACTGTCAAGACAACACAGAGGGTGATCGGTGTGAGCGCTGCGCTCCGGGATTCTACGGTGTGGTCCGAGGTTTCCATGACGACTGCAAACCCTGCGCCTGTCCGCTCAGTAACCCAGAGAACAAGTAAACTTTCTGTGTTTGTCTGTCATTCTCTGTAACAGTGTTTCCCAAACATTTTTCAATTATATACCCTTGAAATATTTTTCAGCCAAGTACCCTTTGACCAGTACAAAACATTTTAGAAAGATACACAAAGGTACAATAAAATGGTAAATGGTAAATCCCATTAAAACACAAGTATTTTTGCTTTTTCCCCTCTTTTCTATGTTGACAGCTGTATTGCTGCTACGTTTCAACCACAAGTCCATTTGCTTGATTTTCTGAGACATACGTTCTGGAAATTTCATGGGGTTGTATGGTATATGAGGGTATTGGTGGACGGTGCTTCTGGTGTTCTCTCAGCTTTTTCTTTCTAATAAATAAACAATACAATCTCACAAAATGTCAAGAAATGTAATATTGTTATACCTGTTTTAGAGAGAAGAGAAACACAACCATACACCTTCTGAATTTAAAATTCTCTCTAAGACTATCTGAATTGCCCTAAGTCATCGTTAAACACAGTTTATTCAAACATGACAGAAACAAAATAAAATTCACCAAACCATCTTGTTTAGTCTTGTTTAGTTAGTTAGTCCAATTTTCCAACAATGACCAACTGTTGTTTGTTCAAAACAAGCCCTTAATTCACAGTTAGATGTGAAAATATGCTTTGTTTCCCTTGCAGTCTCTCTCTGCTGTTGTCTCTAGCCAGTTGTTTACAGTCCTGTAAGGTTATCCCCAACACTCCCAGTCCCCATATCTGTCAGCTCAGCTGCCTGTTCCACCAGACTGACCTCTGGTGTCGCGTAATGTGAACTACATACATTACATCCATAATACAGCCTCTCCAAATGAGTTTAATATGAAGAGGAATGTCTGTATTTTCAACAGTACAAAAAAATCATACTGTTATGATTTCTAAATACCCTGGTATACTGTGATACTGTGATATAGCCCAAGCCTAATGATTATGTATATGTGTTATTTCTCATCATCAGACTGTAAACATATCAAAATAAGTATTATATATTCACTGAAAGTATTTTCAAGTCTTTTTTTGGTGTCAGTTTCAGTCCAACCTGTGTAACAGAGGGATACGATGACTACCGATGTACCGCCTGTCCTGAGGGATATGAGGGCAAATACTGTGAGAGGTGAGCTACACACACACACACACACACACACACACACACACACACACACACAGAAAATCATAATCTTCCTATAATTATTGAAAACAAGATTAGCTTAGGGGTCATGAGATTTTAATACGGGACATGGAATGAATCAAGTACCCAGGACATTGGGACAGTACATCTGGTGGGGACACAAGGTTTTTTTCCAAGCATGGCACAGGCATGACCTCTTCCCTACTCTGCCTTTTATTGGCTTTTCCTGATATTCTTACCCTAACTTATCTCACTCCTTATACCTAAACCCAACCAGTCCAACCAACAACGGCAAGGAGTTCTAGCCAATCAGAAGGAGAGTAGGGCGGGTCATGTCTTTGCCATCCTAGAAAAAAAAATTGGTGATGGGGCCGAGGTAATATCCGGTGTATATAATATCTAGTCACGGAAACTTCTAACTACAAACAAAAACAGTAGCTGATTCTTTCCTTCTTTCCATGATCCCCCCATCCAGGTGTTCTACTGGTTACCATGGTAACCCGTGGATGCCGGGCGGCCGCTGCGAGGAGTGTAAGTGTTCCTTGTGGGGGGCGCTGCCTGGACCATGTGACCCTGTCACGGGCCAATGCCGTTGCAGGGTCGGGGCATCAGGGAGGTCGTGTGACCAGTGCATGGACAGGCATGTGTGTGGACCAGCTGGGATCATCTGTAAGACTAACACACAACTTTTTATTTAATCTATCATTGGTGTTTTCTTTCCCCTTTTTGCCTTCTCTTCATTCAGGGTGTGTGCAGGTTGAAATAGTAAGAGCTTAAATTATAGTTATGAAATAAACAGCCAACAGGTGCAGGTTTTATTGGACATTTGGTCTGAATTATGAGAACATGAGTTTTAGTGCCAATAATTGAAATAGAAAATTAATTGGAGCCGATTATAAAGGCCTCTTTGATTAGTCTCCAACAACAGAAGCTGACACAAAAGGACCTCAGAACTTAACTTTACCACGTTAGCAAAAAAGCACATTTGGTAGTTTTGAAAGTGACTTTAGCTTCTTGAAACGTACAGACATTCTCTCTCTTCTATTTCCCTCTATTGTGTTTCCTCCAGTGGCCCACCACACGGCAGTGTCACCTGATGTTGTGGTTTTTGCATTATTTTGGCAATGAAATGCAAATGAGAAGTCAAAGCCCTTTTCTCCGGTTGCCATGGGAGACAGGGGATTGTGGCAGAAGTCAGATTCAAGTCATTTAGAAAATAATTTCAATGTAATTTGGAGCTAATTTAAACTTAATATGACCATAATGGCAGGGCCAATTCGGTGCCATTAGCATGTCTAGAGGTACGAGAATATAGCAGGAAAGGTTGTGAGATAGAGGCTGATGTGAAATTGCTGCTGTCAGGTCAGAGAGGAAATTGCTTGCTCAGGTCTTTATGTGTTCAGACACAAAGCGTGTGTTCATAAATTGGCAGTGTGAGTGCTGCAGTGCACCCTGACACCAAACCGGTCGCCTCCACGTCCAGACTATAATCACAAGTCCTGATGGTTTACACGGAGTGGAGCGATCAGAACGCTGTTCACTTGTTGAAGAGTGATTGCGCTCTACAGTCTGCCTCTGCTCAGCCCTTTCTCCCATCCTATCAGACGCAAGCGAACACTCTGGGAGTCGGCAGTGTTGAATGAGGGAAATGCTGATATCTCAGCCACATCTGTTGCGTTACATCATTTGCATTGATATGCAGCTAAATTTTCAACACGTGATGTCATGGGTTGCATTATTGTATGTTGCCTTCATCAGCAGGAGAGTTTATGATCAAATTGTAATTATTTCTTTCAGGGTGAAACACACAGTGAGTATTATGACCTCAGGAAATAGCGAGACACATCTGCTTTCAAACAGAAAGAAACATTATCGCAATAAGCCATTGTACACAATGTGTACAGGGATTTTTATATATTTAGTTTATTATAATTTAATTTCTGGAGCACAATGAGATACAAAAGCTAGGTTTAAATAGTAGTAGATCAAAAATCTGATCAGTAAAATCACCAGTTCTGGACACAGCATCTGCCATGCTGTGCTTCTTAAACACATTATAAATATAATTTAACTTACGTACATTGTTAGTCTGGCAGCACGGTTGTGCAGTGGTTAGCAAAAGGGTTCCCAGTTCGAATCCAGGGTGCGGGTTTCAAACCCCAGGATGTGGGAGCCCCTCCATGTGGAGTGTACATGTTCTCCCCGTGTCAGCTTGGGTTTTTTCTGGGTACTCTAGCTTCCTCCCACAGTCCAAACACATGCAGGTTAATTGGTGACTCTAAATTGTCCCTAGGTGTGAATGTGAGTGTGAATGGTTGTCTGTCTCTATGTGTCAGCCCTGTGATAGTCTGGTGACCTGTCCAGGGTGTACCCTGCCTCTCTTCCAATGTCAGCTGGGATAGGCTCCAGCCCCCCAAGATATTACTCAATATTTATCTTCAGTAAAATGGAATTTCTATACACAACTTAAAGGCAGATTTAACCTCCCACTGTCAAAATTAGACGCTAAATACAGGGTTCCCACATTCTCGGAAAACCTAGAAAAGTCATGGAATCCCATGATCACATTTTCCAGGCCTAGAAAAATCATGAAATTAGTAGTCTTCTGTGAATAACCTTCAACATAATGTAACATATAAGCAAATTTGTTTTCTGTGGCTCTCTATGTAACCATCACTTTTGTTTCTTAATTTTGTCCCTGTGTTCCATCTGTTCCTTCATATGCGTCAGTTAGCTGGAACTATGTTTAAATAGAGCTGGAATGTGATATGTCTGAATTATGCCAGGCACTAGGGCAAGAAAAATAATGTTGTGACACTGTGATTTAATATGTAAGATCATTTTCTAGATGCAAGATTAAACCGTAAGTCACTGTCTAAGGTAGGGGTGTCAGACATACAGCCCATGGGCCAAGAGTCCAATCCAGCCCACCAGATGACTACACTAAGAGGTGCCAGGGTTCAGGAGCAAGTTAAACAATGCATACTTCATGTAAAATTCTGCTTCAGGGGCTTTTCCACCAGAATACAGTTCTCTGATATAACAATGAATACTTACTGTGACTGTGTTTAAAGATATTGAACATTGTGCAAAATGTTGTCAAGCTTCAGTTCAAAAGAATCTGTATCAAGAAATATATGATTAAATGTACATGTAATGACAGTGAGAAGTAGACTGACTGAATGTGAAATAACTGAGACATCCACAGAATGCAATTCTTATTACAAAAAAGGGAAAATATTGGAGCTGTTGTCACTTGCTGTTCGATGGTTTTATCGGTCTGACCCATCTGAGATCAAATTGGGCTGAACTAAAATGAGTTTGACACCCCTGGTCTAAGAAACACAGTCACAGGTGTGTAGTATTGCACTTGTCATTTGTGCATGCGTGTTTGAATTTCCAGTGTGAAGCATGCATACACTAAACTGAGCATAAAATAATCCTCAACACTCACTGGGGTTTACTTTGGTCTTCTAGCTATATAATAAATCATAATATTCTATACATTGTTCATACTGTGAAGTAAAACTCTGATGATGTGCATCATTGAACAGAAAAATATACATTACAGTGCCATGAGCGGCACTGCAGCTCAATCTGTTACAGCTCTCACTATGAGTCTAATGACTTTGTATTTGATTAGAGTTCTGTGGCCACCACTCCAGCAGCTAGTGTAGCTTTCAACGATTGAGGTGATATTTTAAGCCAAGTCTTACAGTTATGCGATCATTCTTGTGTTTTCCTCTCTGCTTCTTATCATGAAACAATAGATAGTGTCACTTCCTGCAATCAGATTAAAGATAACAGAGTGGTATATTCATTTGAGCTATCCAAACTGCAAATCCATTTTAAAGGAATACATCACTCCTCAAGTGACCATGTGTTTATCAGTTACTCACCCTGTGTTACCTTGAACTCATGAAGAAAGCTTGTTTTTCTCACATGCCTACTGTGAACGAAGAATCCAAAAACAGAGAAAATTCTTAATGAGTTGAAGTCACAGCCGACCATGTTCAACAACAGCAAAACTTTATCACAACATCCATTTACAAACTCTCACAGTATAATCCAAGTCTCATTTATTCATTCGTATACTCAGTACTTCCCAAACAGACAGCCCTTTCCGACAGGTAAGTGAACTCTCTTCAAAGCCAGACTCCATTGACAAAAACAGTAATTTTACCTTGCTGAACAGAGGCGGGGCTGCTGGTCCACCACAGCTTTAATCAGTTAGTTTGTTTGTGTTACTTGTGTGACTTTGGTGTTTAATGGGGTTAGTTTAGATTCAGCAAAATCACCCAAAAACAAAAACAAACTAACTGACTGAGGCAGCGGTAGACCAGCAGCTCCCATGTTCAGCGAGGTAAAATTACTGTTTTTGTCAATGGAGTCTGGCTTTGAAGAGAACGTAGATAAGTTTCACTTTACGTTTAATTCCTTAGAAAAAAAGGGGCGACTTGGATTATATTGCACAAGTTGTGTGAGAGTTTATAAACGTATGTTTTGATATAGTTTTGCTCTTGTTAAACATGGTCGCACATGACTTAAGGTCATCAAGTATTTCCTCTGCTTTTTGATTCTTCGTTCGCTGTGGAGGCACTCTAGAAAAAAGAGTTTTCTTCACAACTACAAGGCAACACGGTGTGGGTAGTTGGTACACTAAAGGTCACTAGAGGGTGGAGTGTTTCTTTAAAGTCACTTAATTTCTACCAAGCAGACTGTTGAGCCATAGTTTACCTTGTAAGTGAAGCCATTTTATTGATCAGTCATCCTATAATATTGAACCCCAGCTTTTAGAATTGGTTTTCTTGTATATTACACAGTATATTATGACATGTGGCACACTGAGAACTTAAGCATCTAAAAGCCACTAGATGGTTTATGGTGACATTAAAATGACATTTTTGTAATGTACTTGGTTTTGACAGTAATGTGTTTCACTATCAAATTTTCACATGGACGAATTTTGACACAGTAGAATAAACTTGGTGAGTGTACCGCTGAATCTTCCCAACAAAGACTCAGTAATTCTTCAAGCAAACTTCAAGGTAGCCAAATGCACTCCATCTTGTGTAAACTCCTTAGAAGAGGAGACAGAAAGAAGCTAATTTGAGAATCTCTGGCCTGTCTTGCCAACATTGTAGAGGCAGGCATCCACCCAGCAGCACAGAGAGCAGACAGTGATGGAAGTGAGGCTTTTGTGTGTAATCACACCTTGTAGCACAGGATGTTTTCACGCTGTGTGGAAGTTAGTGATTACGATCCTTTGTCACAGGGATTCGTGAATGGCTTGGATTTGATGTACAGCTGTTTACTCCTCACTCAATGTGCTGTACATTTACTGTACCTGCGTTTGTGTGTGTGTGTGTGTGTGTCTGTGTGTGTGTGTATGTGTGTGTGCACCTGACTGCATGAATGCTTTAGTGTATTTGAGTGTTCTGCTTTTGTCAGAGATTGATAGAGTAAAAACAGTTTTTATTTTACTTAATTCATCTTTGATTTCCCTTGTCAGAAATTTTAATTTCTGCAATAAATCAGCCTCGGGCTATGGAAAGGAAGAGAAATTCACACACACACGATAAAGAAAAATGCGAATGCGTGTGTCTGAGTGAATTCCCTGGTGTGTTTGTGCATTGGCTCCTGTGTTTTTAGCCTGCAGTGTGTGCTCATAATAGGTGCTTTTTGCCTCTCTGTGCTGAATTTCATGCATCGGCAGCCCTGTCTTTTTGATGCCAGAGTCACTTAAACACAAAACACAAGCAGTCACTACGATCACACACTGATGTGTTTACAGACTCACAAATAAGACACAGAAACACACATTCAGAAGTAAAAATACACACTTCTGACTTCCTTTCTTTCTTCTCCTCTCATTTTCTTCCTCTCATTTCTATCTGCCAAGTCAAACTGCGGAAGTGTCAACACACACACACACACACACACACACATACTCACGCCAACCGTCTGTAACCCTTTCTAATAGATTTAGTTGGCCTCATTACACTCTAGCTGTGTCTAACTGTGTTTTTATATTTCTTCCTCCAGCCTGTGATGATGAGTGCTCGGGTCTGTTGATCAGTGATATGGACCGCCTGTATCGCATCATCACTGAGGTGACTCTGACCACGCCCCTTCCGCCACCTTACAAGGTGTTGTACCGCTTCGAGAACATGACAGAGGAACTCAAGGTATGATCTTTCTCTGCCTGACTGAAAAGATGTTTTAATCACTTTTAAAAGAGTAACTACACTCCAGAGTTTGTGTTACAGTGCCTCTACCGTGGAAATGGAAGACAGCCCTGTCATTGTGTTTTTGGGTTGTCGGTCTCATTCTTGTGAACAGGATACCTCAAGAAGATCTTGAGAGAATTTCTTCATATTTGGCACAAACATTCACTTGAGCTTAACAATGAACTGATTAGATGTAGGTGGTCAAAGGTCAAGGTCAATGAGACCTTGCATCCGTCTTATTCTCATGAGAGCAATGTCTTCGGAAAACCTTTGGGGAATTTCTTCAAATTTGGAACAAACATTCCCTTGGACTTAACATTGAACTGATTGTAATTTGGTGGTCAAAGGTCAAGGTCAGTGTGAACACGATTGGTACAGAAAACCTTAAGGGAATTTCTTCAAATTTGGCACAAATTGCCACTTGGACTTGGAAATAAACTGATTAGAATTTGATGATCAAAGTTCAAGGTCACTGTGACCTCACGAAACATGTTTTTGGCTATCACTCATAATTCTTACGCTAATTATGACAAACCTCACAAAAATGTCCAATAGCGTATAATGATGAAATGATGTCAATAGATATCTAAAAGCTCAAAGGTCAGCTTCACTGTGACATCATATTGCTCTGCATAAAACACTTCTCTAGCCATGATCTGACGTCATATCTCAGGAACAGAAGGGGAGACATTTGGTCAGATACTGGATTGGTGACACGCATGTTGGGTGTCCACCTCGAGACTGTGTTGATTGTATAGATCTTCTGTGTGTGAAGCCTCCATGTTTTCACAGACGTGGATGTAAACTGTAAGAGAAACTTGACTAGTGCACAGAGGCATACAACCACTAGTCGGGAATTTTGGTTCCTTTGTATGGAAGAAGACAATAATCAAATGCGATGAATCACAGTATGGTTATTTAAGTCTATTTCTGAGTTTAACTGACACAACAATTAATGTATGGTGAAATATAGTATTACTGTGACACAAATTTAGCATTAAGATTTTGGCCATATCATCCATCCCTACTTGATGATACAGTGAGATGGCACACTCTTCATTCAGCTCACTCAACCTGCACTATTCAGACAAACACTGTTATTAGCATCTCGTTGTGAGCTTGTTTTCAAGTGTTTTTAAAATGTCAGGACTTTTCTCCTCCTTCTAAACAAATCATCATCTGTCACAACACAATGCTGTTAAAATTGATTAACACTTACTATGTTACAAATGGATTGCAATGAGAAGGTAATAACCGTGGTTGCATTACCGTTATTATCATGTTTACTGTGACGTATTTCAAATATATTGAGTTTTATATGTTGGATATGTCTTCTGTTTAATTATTTCTTTCTTCCTTACCTACCTGCTGCCCTCCCTGGCTCATCCTCTTCTCTTTGGCTCTACAGCACAGAGCCAGGCAGTTCAAAAGCCTAGCCCTGGGCCACAATGTGTCAGACATTCCTCTATGTAATTCCTTCATCTCTCTGTTTCTCACCTGCAGCACATGCTGTCACCACAGAAAGCTCCGGAGAGATTACTGCAACTGGCCGACTCCAACCTGGGATCACTGGTCGTTGAGATGGACCAACTACACAGCAGGGTACAGACACTTTTGTTTTTCTTCTGACTCGACTTAAGTCTCTGTCATTGTCTGTCTTCCCCTCTCTCGCTTTATCCGTCCTTCTCTGTCTGGCTCTAAAATAACGAGATGGAGCAACTAAAGACCGTGGAAGGGAGGGAGATCATAAGGGCAAAACTTATGTACAAAGAACAGAAAAGACACAAATCCTGTCACTTCTGCAACAAGCTGCGCATTACAATAGAGACAACACAAAAAACAGTCTACCCAGTAGCCAGATGCAGCATGCTGATTGATGTAAAAGCAGAACCAAAACCTATTTAACCACCTCTCTAACATGTTGATCAAGTGTCAGAGACTTTCAGATTTAGGTTAAGGTTCATTGCCAAGCAGGTTTTCACTTACAAGGAGTTCAACTTTGTGTTTGGTGCATACAAGAAAGGAAGGAAACTATATTGCAAATCTTTTGAGCAGGAGATGTACAAAAGTTCACAGTGTAGAAAATACGTGCAGTGTACCAGGATATTAGTCCAAGATGGGCTTTAATGTAACACATAGTGTCATGGCCTGGTTTTTTAACTCTTTCAAGCCAGTTCACAACAGTGCAGTCGCTGATTGTGTTGCCTCCATTTGGTAGTTTCGTTCTCACTTTGAATAAAATTTACAAAACCTTTTCAAGTCTAGCGTGAGCTCTAAGACTGTACCGATGCCCTATTCTTTATGTTTCCTACATGTTTTTTGAAGAAAAAAACAAGACTCCCACCCCTTCCTTCTGTCACAACAGCTCATCATCTGAGTCAAAAGAAAACATTTACATCCACCTAAATAAGTTTTAAAAAACTGTGGGAATATAATTTGCAATCAACACAAAAATGGCTTTAACACATAGAGACAGATTTCTACAGGGGATCAGTAACACATTGTAAAACAGAAACCTTAGGGTGCTTTCACACCTGCCCTGTTTGGTTCGGTTCAGTTGAATTCAAGTTTGTTTCGGTGCGGTTCGTTTTGGCAGGTGTGGCAGTTGCCCTCAGGCGTGCACCAAAACAGAGAGACCTTCATGAAGAGGTGGTCTCGGTCTGGTTACAAACAAACTCTTGATCTGAACCAGCTGCAGTCACATGACACATTGTTTGGGTTAAACATGAGCATGTTACAGTCCTGGAGGATTATTAATGTGCACCTCCTCCTGTACTGCCTTAATATGCACATTCAGCACATCCAATGCATCAAAACATTGTTTTCTAGTTGGAGCTGCGCCTCGTTTTCAAACTGTATGGTTTGACTAAAATGAACAATGACAGCAATTTAGTCCACGATGAGCAGCGCTAAAATCAACCTGCGTAGTTGTCCCTCCATTGTGACATTAGAAAGTGTCACATTTATCTTGCAAGTGTACTCTTCTTCAATGTTTTGTTTACTTCCTGGATTTTTCCCACATGGAAATTCTGACCAATCAAGAGCAGCTTTCTCGTGCAAGGCATTTGATCTGGTCCGCTTGTAAATGTTGCCGTGAGAACATGAACCAACTCTAGGCAGTTATGCAACTTTGTGACAAAATAAGTCCCTGATTCAGACCAAAGCAAGATGACTCTGGGTCTGAAAGCTCCCTTAGTTAATCACTTTAGCAATCAACAGATTTTGACACGATGGAACCCTGGGCGCCATACCTGGATTAACCCCTCTGTTCCTTCTGCATTACCTCTGGAGCCCAGGTTTGCATTGTGGTAGTTTGATAACACAAAAATGCATTCAGGAACATGCAACATGTAGACACAAAACTGATATCATAAAAGTCTTAAAGCTGGGTTGTGGCATAGGGATCATCTTCAGGACATGGCTTCAGGATTGGGATAAAGTTTGTGCTCTGTAAAGTTTACTTGTTTGCCCTCTTATTCATGCGCTATACAAACAAATTTATATCGTACTTAATTGCTGCATATTTCAAAACATGTTTTTAATAAAATTGGCACCAACAAAGTGAAGCTGTACCTTTCAGGGTCCCTGAATAGATATTAGTAGAATAACAAAATAAGAAATGATTTTGATGTAGCTCAAGATTGGATTATAAATCCTGATTAGGTCTTCCCCAGTATTGACTCAAACTTATGAATTTTCAACCACAAATGTTACGTCACCTCTGACAGAGGCTATTAGGGGTCCCTAGGTCTCTTGGCCCGTGTCTCAGTAGACCAATTCAGGAATCAATGCCTGCTTTTCAAATAATTTTTTTAATGTTTTTCCATCAAACATGTTCACCCAAAAGCATTTCTATGTCTTCACCCTTGTACAGAATACAGAAATCTATATAAATGTTTTGTTTTTGTTCACCATCTTCAGAGTCACAGTTGCATCTCTAAGAGGAGTGAACCAAAATAGAAAAACGTGAGCGGAGGGGGTCTACCTCCAAGTGAGGAAAAATAACACTCACATTCACGCTGTCAAGCTACACCCTTTTAGGGACAGGGGCCTTGACATTTGTTGACAGCGATGCTATCACCCACACCCCAACCGCACACACCCACTCACTCACACACACACACACACACACACACACACACACACCAGCGAAAATGATATAGCATGGTCTTGTCAAATCACAACAATAATTACCTGCTCTTTCTTTCTGTGTGTGTGTGTGTGTCTGGTGTTTTCATGTCTGTCAAGGATTCATCCATCTCTCGCCTTCCTGGTCCTCTGTGTGTGTGTGTGTGTGTGTGTGTGTGTGTGTGTGTGAGTGAGTGTGGGTTAATGTGTGACTTTGTGTTTTCTTTTAATGTCAATAATTCATCCATCTGTGTGTGTGTGGTGGCATGTGAGTGCACATGTAGACAAGGAAAGCAGAGCGTGACAGACTGGACTGGATATTGATTGTGTGTACGTGCGTGTGTGTGTGTGTGTGTGTGTGTGTGTGTACATATTGCCATCATCTTCTGTCATTCCTTTACATCTACTGTAAGATCTCCGTCTTTTCCTTTCCTCCGTTACACAGAAGTCAGTATGTTCACTTATTTAACACTTGTTTATTATTATTGTATAACTTGTGTGTGTGTGTTTGTGTGTGTGTGTGTAGGCTACGAAGGTGTCTGCTGACGGAGAGCAGGTTGAGGATGATGCTGACAGGATTCATAAACGAGCCGAGGACCTGGAGCAGTTCATCAGGGACACGCTGCTGGGAGCTCAAGGTAGCAGAGACGAACACCACCTCTCCTCCATTAACTGCCTCCATATCCTGCCAACTGGGATTTCTGGATTTATCTGTCTACTGTCTCACCAGTTTCGTCTGTTATTAGAGGACATTGCATTATATTACATTATAATAAATGTAAGGGAGCCATGTGGGAAATTTAGCTTATTGCATTAGAGGACAGTGGGATATAGATAAGGATATGAAAAGATGAAAAAATAAGATAAATGAAATGAATAATTACACAGACAGAATATATTAAAAAGCAGCAGTTAAATGCAGATGTAGCATCACCAGAGAGAGTGAGAGTGGATCCCCTGACTGCTAGATGCTTCAGTGTAATCTATCTTAAGCCATTTGACTCTTTCACTCCCACATAACAACATATCACTAGCCTAAATGCAGAGAACACAGGCCTATGAAACAGTCATAATGATGTTCTCAGTGGTGTTGCAAGTGCTGATGGTTTGCTCCCTGGTGGGAATCTAGTATTATTCTTCTGTTGTTTGTTTCAGGATAGTTGTTATCTATTGTCTTGCCAGTTTTTTGTATGGTGTTTTATTGTGTAATGTCTCTGCCCAGGAACTACAGTTCAGTCAGGAACACTTTATTACATTTGACGGTATGGCTCTGTTCTGGGGCCTCTCTGACTTTCCTAGGTCTATGCAGAAAGCCTCTTGCACGGGCCTGCGAGGAAAGCCTGAGACAGAGAGAGCAAACCTCGCTGCCCTTCCATGCACCTACATGGAAAGCCTAAGGCAGGGAGAGCAGCAGCAAAGACAAACAGAAATGATATTGATAAGTCAAGACACTGCATGAAAAGGAGGAGCTGGGGTGGAGGCGGGTTGCAAAGCGGCTTGCAGTGGAAGCAGCAACAGTAGGCAGACCAGAGCAGTTTAAATAGGGCGCCCTGAATGACATTTGCCAATTGGTTGCATGGAAAGGAATCATGTGATTTTTTTTTTTTTTTTTGATTTTTTTTTTTAAATTGCAATATATCGGCTTGCTTACAGAATCACAATATATCCCAATATACTGAATCATAACCCCTGTATCGTGATACAAATGGTATCACCACATTCTTGCCAATACACAGCCCTGAGAGAAATCCAAGGATAAAAAAGGTCTCTTTAATGTCAAGACTGATGTTAGTGTTACCACCCAAAATAGACAAAAAGCAGAGACCTTGATTGCATTACAGCCTTTTCTTTTCTAAATTCTATTAGGCATCTTCAAAGTGTAACGACCAAAACATCTTTCTGCCCCCTTGTTAGCTCTCTAATGGAAAACTTAGCTCAGACACAATGGCTTGTGGGCCGGCGGCCAGCTGCTGGCGCTTGGTGCCAGCTGCTGGTGCAAAGTGTTGCCTGAACAATAAATACGAATCCAGCAGGCTGCAGCATCACTGACCATGGTGATAAAGAGTCACCCACCAAGATAACAGGGTGCAGAGGATCAGATTGATTTATTTTGTTAGCAGCTAGTTAGCAAGTAACAGAGAGACTGCAAGAGTTAAATGGTGTTTGCACATTTCAGCATGCATTGAAGTTCTTTATGCTTTTGGGGTTTTGTTTAGTCACAAACCACAAACATTACAAACATTGTTTTCCCACAGCTCCAGGGTTCATTGCAGCCCTACAGCTGTGTGCTGTGTCCCCACTGATGTAAAACATTATCTCACAGGTAGTGTTACAGTCCAGATGGTTCACTCAGGTGGCTTCTTACAAAGGACTTGTCTTGCTCTCTCTCTGCATGTGTAACTGGCAGATAGTTGTTCATTTTAGCTCGGGTATCTTTTTGCCAGTGCAGCTGCAGCATCTCCTCCCTCAGCCCCTGCATCAATAGCCGTGTGACCAGCTTGTGATGTGTTTTTTTCTCCTGCGACATCACAGTCACAGCCCTCACGTACGCTCCACTGGAAAAGGGTATCTATGAAGTCTAGAGGGGGTTTCAGTGCTTTGTGCAGTCATTCCAGGCCATCGGTGTCCCTCCATGTGCGAACTAATTTTGTCAGTGGACAAGAGTTGTGCAGACCTTCTGTTCAAGCCGTCTTTTCACCATCCCCGGCCAGGAGTGCCACCTTGCAGGTCACTCTGACCGTTTGTGCTGGGGTTTGTTGAGCTCTTCTTTGGTTGCTGCCAAGGCTCACCACATTAAAAAAAAGACACACATCTTTCTTTTGTACAACCCAAGTTAGTCCCTCTTTTCCACATCCAGTGTGGCTGCAGGTCCTTAAACATACTTAAAATGTCTCAAATTCAGTGTTTATAAATATCAGGCCTTAGAAGTATTAAATTTGAATTTGTGAGGTCTTAATTGCCACAATCATCAGATCAAATTCATTTTAACCATAGTTTAATTTCTTTTTGTACATAGGAGTTAGACTTTACTGTGTGAAAGTCCACATTTCTGATGTTACAGATCTTGGACAGCAACAGACGTTATTTAACGGGGCTAAAATTAGCGCGTCCAAAGCCCAGGCCCCCAGGAAGTGGCAGGGCTGGGCTTTGAAGCCAATTTTTGTAGTAGATAAACTTGGAATTACAAATTCTGAGCTATCATGTGATGCCATTGGTCCCAGGCTTTTTTCCATAGACTTATACTGTGAAATAGATATCTGTAAATTAGTAGATACATTTTTTGAACGTCCCAAGACTTTTAAACAATTAAATCATTTTATCCCCGTTCAAGTTAGGGGAGTGCTAAAGTGGGGAAGCGGCTGTAGTCTACAGCACCTGTTGTGAGGTGTGTTGTCCTCTTTTTTTACTCAGTCTTTCCATATGTGGTCCGTTCAGACTGTCAGGACTGTAACATTAACATGTATGAGAAGTCTAGTCTGTTTCCAATTTTAAATCTCTTAACCCCGGACAGCTGTAGTCAAGTCCGAGTAGGATTTAGCAGGTATAAATACACTTTTAAGTAACTCCCCCACCCTGCACTGTTATTAAACCAGAACAAATGTCCTCCATGTAAACTGTGCAGTTTAAATAATTAGTCATTTTGATTACTGTTATGAAATTTTTATGGCTTCTGGGATGAAATGAAAGTTACCAAACCGACGCTTTTTGACTGGCTGTGATGAAACTGTCCTCTCCTTGTTGTTGCTCCTAGCTCTCTGGCCCTCTGCCTAATCACAGTGTGATTATGGGTGTGTGTGTGTGTGTGTGTGTGTGTGTGTGTAAAAGAGAGTGTGCTATGGCTCACTGTATGATTGAGAGTAGCAATTAGAGACTTAATTATTGGCTATCACAAACACACCACATACACAAACACTGATGCAGATGTGCACACACTCGTACAACTGTGCACACACACACATCCATACACAGACACACACATAACGAGGCAAGAAAATACTGTACACACTTTCCTCTGAGTCTGCGTGTGTGTGTGTGTGTGTGTGTGTGTGTGTGTGCCCATGTTTACCAGATACCATAATATGATTCCATCCACGTTTTAAGTGTTTAATTGGCTTTTAAATCCCACTATGTAATTATATGGCTGTGACACACAAACACACACACACACACACACACACACACACACAAATGCGGCGCACACACACACACACACATGCAGTACAGCTGTTCATTAGCATGATGGCTTTAGTTTGGTCTTGGCTCTAATCACATCATGTTTACATTTCAAATGATAGGAAATGCTGCATTGCCACAACCACACACACACACACACACACACACACACACACACACACACACGCAGGCCCACACAGACACACACACCTACAGACACTCACACACACTCTTTCAAGTTTCAACTTGCTTTAATCATATCACGTTTACATTTCAGATGAGAGAGGAACACGCCATCACTGCAGCACACACACACACAAACAGCTTGCTGCGTACACATGGAATCGCACAACACACCTCTTTACCCTCCTCTGTTTTGCTCTTGCCCAAACACACACGCTCACACACACAAACTCACGCACACTCCTCATTAAGTTCCAGCAGTTTTATTCAAATGAGCCTTGGAGTGTTTTAGTGCAGTTTCATCATTGATTGGTTTGAGATTTCACTGCCTTTAATTTGATAAAAGCAGGGCAAACATGAAGCCTGCCAAAATCACTGGCTTTGAATGGTGTTAAAACATTCTCTGTGTGTGTGTGTGTGTGTGTGTGTCTGACACTCAGTGTGTGTCTGTGTTTAAATGAGTGAAGATCAAACGGTGTGATTTGTCTGTCTTTCTGTTTGAGTCATAAAGCTGAGACATGACAGCAGCGCCCACAGACAGAATGTCCATCAGGACTGAGCTCTGTCTGTGTTTACTATTAACATATCTCCACACACTGTTCATTTCTATGTGTGGAGATGATTTCTTAGAAAAAAACCCAACTTATTTTAGGTTAGATTGTTGTTTTAATCAATTTACTTTGAGTCCAAGTTTTTGCCTCTGTTATTCAAACATGTTAAACCTCTTTAAGCTCATCGTTTTAGTCTTTGTTTTTCCTTTATGCTTCACTCTCACCACTCTCCTCAGCCATGTTTGTCGAGCCCAACTCCTGCCAAAACCCTCCAAAAATTAGAGCTGGGTATCTGTACTCAGTACCCTTAAGGTAGGGGAGTGAGGGGCATGACCTAACGTGGGGTAAATTGTAACATGGACTTTTTATGTGGTTACACAGGGTCGAGCCTTTCTTGCTGCCACTTAATTTGACACAGTCCCTGGCTTTTGTTTGATATCTAGTGACAGCAAAAAATGTTGTTGCACATTTCTGATCCATTGTTAGCGCCATTAGCTTGTTTATTATTACATTAATGTTGCTCTTACACTGAATGTCCTGCAGACCCCCGTTCAAACTTTTAAACTTTATATGGAAAAAAAAAAGAATCATTGAATATTTGTATTTAATGGCCGGATCTGATTAGACTGACAGTCAAGTACAGCCCCAGACATTAAACATGCAGACAATAACTTGCAACAAATTTTCATTGGGCGAAGGAGGAAACTCCATTAACTGTCTTCCTCGCAGAACTCAGAAACATCTCTCCCAACTGAAGTCTTCCTCCTGGTTCGAATTATCTCAGTTTTTAATCGATACCTTAATTAAAAACCCACTGTACACCACTTGCACAGCACCAAACAGCAGACAGACAAAGTTAGCAACTAGCTCAGATAGAAAGTTGATCCTCCAGCAGCTGCAGACTCAGAAGCTTTTTCTCAGGAGTCAAAAAGGAGTAAAAAATAAAAACAAAACAGAAAGTGAATATTGGACTTTTGGAATGTTTGGCGATAAAGTAAACCATAACAGCTCTATAAGGTGATAATATGTCAGGGCTGTGTATCTGCCAGCTCATTTTGAGGTTCCTCTGCCCCCTCATAGCAGTCTTTCTGTGTGTCTGTGTGTCCAGACCTCCAGTCAAAGGCCGCCGACTTGAACCAGACTCTCTCGCGGAGAGATGGAACTCCAGACAAAAGCCTGAAGGAGATGAAAGAGGAGATCCAGGCCATGCTAGCCGAGATGAGAAAACGACAGCTGGGAGGGAAGAAGAGCATCGCCGAGGAGGAGATGGAGTATGGACACACACGAACGCATACATATAAACACACACACACACACACACACACAGGTCATGTATCTTTCTCCCACACACAAGAGAAAGACAGATTTTAAGAAAACTTTGCGAACATACCAGTCTTTGTCTCAGAGTGCACACACACATTTTTGAGCAGACAAAAGGTGTAAATTTCTTGACAAATGGAGTGAAAATGTGCCAAGAATAGTGTTTGGAGACAGGCAGTAACTGAGCATCTTTGCTTTTGAGCACTTTCTTTGGTGTTAATGTTTTGTGCTTTTTAGAGCTTCTGAGTTTTTTGTCTTCAGAGTTGTTTCTGTTTCCTTTTTAAGTCTTGTTGGTGAATATGACCAAAACCTCCATTCTTCCATTTGCATGGAAATCACACTTGTTTTCACCTGCCTGTTGTTTTGTTTTTTCTGTTTCATGTTTTGTTTTACTCACACTTGTATGCTAATGCATTCACCTTGTGTGTCTTGGATTGCCTTTGGCCCTGCTGGGATTCAATCCCACTTTTCCATCTTCTTGCTTGTTGTTCTGCAGGGTTTTTCCCCACTAGACATTTTCTTTTGCTGAACTTGCACAATGAGAAAGAGAGAGACGAGAGGAGAGAGGTGGAATATGCATTAAATTCACCCTAATAAATCAATATGTAAAAAATCTTACCTGCATACTTTAGAAATTTTACACTAGCAAAATGTTAAACTCATGAAAATGGCAGTATGTCACCTATGTAAATAAATACAAAGAGCATTTTTAATGTTGAACATTTTTAGATATTAGGGTGCACTTTTCCTAGCATTCCATGCAACCAGTGATTTCTGTTAATTTATTTACATCCTATAATTAGACAGCAGGCTTATGAAACTTGAGCTGTGTAATATATCCAAGGAAACATCATACTTGGGGTTTTTGTCAGTCACGGTAAAGTTGCCTTTAAAGCTGTTCAAGTGCAGAATTATTTAGAAAGTATGCACTGTGTTACCTCATATTGTGAATCTAATGAGGGATTGTGAATTCTCATTTAATAACGATTTTTTTTTTGTTTTTAATTCTGTTTTGTTTTTGTTGTTATTTCTTCCCCCTCATGTGCCAAGGAAACAGAGGAATCTTTATTGTAAAAAAAAACAAAAAAAAAAAAACATCAGAACTCACCCTTTGTAAAGACCCGCGCATGGTCCCGTCCACCTTGGTTACTATTGCTGGGTTCGACAAAACTAGTCTTGCGGGGGTTCATTCCCATAGGAAACAATGGAAAATACCGGGAGATTTAACCTTCTCGTAATTCAAATTGAGTTGATCCTTTAATACGAGCCGGGCCTGTCTGAGGCCTGCCCAGCAGGTTAGCATAGTGAGCTAACAACAGTCTGTAGCTAGCGTAACATTGTTGGATCACATCACCTATTATAAAATATGAAAACCACATTGCTTCTCTTACCTTAGAGCATATGTAAGTATGCTTATTGATAGTCGATGTGTTGAACTGCCGTTGTGGTCGTCCGTAGAGTCAAATCCAAAGGAGACATTTCTCATGATTTCCCTTAGGTTTTGGGAATTGAATAAAAACTGCTCGGAGAATTTGTCTGGATATCTCGAGTCACTGTTGCAGACACCCCAAGCACACTTGTTAACCATGTTAAAATAATATAAATCACTGATTTATCCGTGTTTGCCAGCTAGAAAGCTCTGCGTTTCACTGTGACAACGAGCCTAGGAGAACACAGCCTGGGGTGATGTTTGGCAAACCCCAGTACGCTAGCAACTGTTACTATGGGGAGGAGTGTCTCTGCCTTTTGCAGATGATGTGGTTCTGTTGACTTCATCACACCATGACCTCCATCATGCACTGGGGCGATTTGCAGCTGAGTGTGAAGTGGTCAGGATGAGAGTCAGCACCTCCAAATCTGAGGCCATGGTTCTCTGCCAGAAATAGCTGGACTGTCCCTTCTGGGTTGAGAGAGAGTTACTGCTTCAGGCGAAGGAGTACAAGTCTCTCGGGGACTTGGTCACAAGTGAGGGTAGAATTGAGCATGAGATGGATCGTCGCTTTGGTGCTGCTTCTGCAGTGATGAAGAGAGGGCTGAGCTGGACGGCGGAGCTTTATGTCCCAGCCCTCACTTATGGTCATGAGCTCTGGGTAGTGACTGAAAGAATGAGATCGCGGATACAGGCAGCCAGTTTCCTCTGTGGGGTGGCTGGACTCAGCCTTAGAGATAGGGTGAGGAGCACAGACATCCAGAGAGAGTTCAGAGTAGAGTCGCTGCTCCTTTGCATCGAAAGGAACCAGCTGAGGTGGTTCAGGCATCTGATCAGGATGCCTTCTGGGCGCCTCCTGTTAGAGGTGTTCTGGGCACGTCCCACTGGTATGAGGCCCCGGGGCAGACCCAGAACACACTGGAGGGATTACATATCTCATCTGTCCTGGGAACGCCTTGGGGTCACCTAGGAGGAGCTGGAGAGCATTGCTGGGGAGAGGGACATTATGGGTTCTTTGCTCGGCCTGCTGCCCCCAGGAATGAATGGTGACCCACCTCCAAGGCTGTATCCAGGTCTCATAATACATCCATGGCATTATCAGGGGAAAAATGGTGAGTCCCCTGATGTGTCGATAGTGAGGCATCCTCTGTTCATTCTAAACACTTTTTGTGTTACCGCTGGGGCGACGAGATGCTGTTAGTCTCAAGCTTGGCCTGTGCAAAATTGATGTGACACAACAGGAAAACATCGACTACTGCTGTCGGTGAATTTCATTTTACTTGTCAACAGGCAAATGGGAGTCAACAAGGTGAATATTAGCTAGTACTGATGTTTGGCTGATGAATCGGTTTATCCAACAACACTGAATGCATACTTGATTATAACTGTGATAGTAATTTCAAGACTCTTTTAGGTAGAGTCAAATTCATTTTTCATATCTTATAGAAATGAGTGGAACTCAATGGATGCCTTTAGTGATAGAAAAAACACACACCATTGTTTGCAAAATGGTTAGCTGTAATGTAGATTATATATGATTTATAGTACAGTAAAGAGGTTAGTTCATGCAGAAGCACTGGTCCTTTCATTTCTTTTTCATTCTTTGATTTCTTTCCTTCTTTCGGTTGACACAGGAGACATCAGGAGTAAACACCTTCCGCTGAGCAGATACTCGATTACTAAATATCCTAGAGCCATGACTTTCTGCTGATGTTCTAACAAAGTGTCTCTCACTGTTTTCGCTCTCACTTTCTCCTTCTCAAGGCACTTGGTGGAATTAGTAATCTACTCTCTTGATCCCTCTCTTCTCCCTCTCTGTCTGTCTCTCTTTCAGCAGTAAATGTTGACGAGGTCGATGAGTTAATTAAAAGTACTGTATCGCCGTGGGGGTAGAAACAGAGAGAGACATACAGAGAAGGTGTAGTGAGAAGGAAAGCCACAGAGAGACAGGAGAACAACTGACAGATGGACGGAGAGTTGTTGTGGGATAGAGTAGGGAGACAAAGAGAAATTGCCACTGCCACTGAATGACTTGTCTGTCAGTCTGCGGTTGATTATTTGACTGAACCCTGAGAGGAGATTTCAACCAGAGCAGCTGAGAAAAACACAAGCATCAACAAATGTTGAAAGGATACTTCAACAACATAAACAAAAGCTAGCACAGATATATGACTTTTATTTTTTCCATATTTGATCTATATTCAGTATGCGTTCAGACTGCAAAAACTCATTCATATGCTGTATTAATTTATATTGTAATGTAATAGTGGCTTGAATAATAGTTAAACACCCCTCCCTTTTGTTTTTACTTAGTTTTATACTGTTTTCTTCGCGCTGTTCCCCAGAGGGTTCATTAAAGATTCATCAAACCCAAAAATTACCTTGCATGTATCCCCAAAACTGTGTGAAATTGTCCTCTGAGTGATGTCAGCTGGAGGACACTGGTACGTTGTTGTCTTAATTAATGCTGAAGGTAAAAAATAAGGCTCATTAAGGGATGCTATGGTAAACATATGGTTATTAAACTGTTTTAAATACTTCCAAAATGAGAAAGCTTTGTAAAAATGCATGTCAAAGCAAAGTATAATTAGAAAACCTGGAGTAAACTAAAGGCTGTATTGCAAAGCTTGATGGGTGGATCAGTTGAAGAGAAGCCTGCAAGATAGTTAGAACAGTCAACTTAAGTCTGAAGCTACAGTCACATGGCATACTTACATACATATATCTGCCATACGTTTTTTTTTTTTTTTTACTATGACAGTGTATTTTAGGACCTGGTTATGCAAGCAAAGAACTAGCTTATGTGTCATGTCATCTGACCATGTCTGAAGGTGCTGCGAAAGGCCTATTGTCATAGACAGGGGCGAGACGTAATAATTGTGTTACTCCAGGATAACAGCACGCATTTTTGAAGCCATAGTGACATAAAACAGTTGTGTGAAGAATGAAAAAAGAAAGCTCGAACATCCGGAGGGAGCTCGGAGTAGAGCCGCTGCTCGTTCATGTCAAACAGGGTCAGTTGAGGTAGTTCGGGCATCTGATCAGGATGCCTCCTGGGAGCCACCCGCTGAAGGTATTTCAGGCACGTCCCACTGGTAGGAGGCCCCGGGGCAGACACAGAACACGCTGGAGGGATTACATATCTCATCTGGCCTGGGAACGCCTTGGGGTGTGTGTTGCTGGGGAGAGGGATGTTTGGGGTGCTCTGCTTAGCTTACTGCCCCCTGTGATCCGGCCTCAGATAAGTGGATGAAAATGGATGGATGAAAGGAATTGGCTCAAACCATGCCAACATTCTCACCTCAACATTGCTGGCCAGTCATACATGGCAGTTGTGAATGTTTGATCGCCAAATCTACACAGTAAATAAAAAAAAAGTTGGCTGACTGCACTAACAAAGCTGTAAATAATTGATGAATGCCCTTTTAATGAAACCTGAAGACTGTTAGAAGTTTGTTTTCGTCATGTCTGTACTCTCCGAAAAGGTATATAACTAAGGGATAATGCCCAACAAGATGTCCATTACCACTTTTTAACGGCCAACGTGGAGGCACTTGGGACGATTTCCTCTGTGAATGCCATTAAAAAGTGATAATGGACACTTCAAAGTCACTCACCAAAGAAATAAAAAGTAAGCATATTCATTCATATTGTTGTGCTTTTTGCAGTCAAAATCACATACGTTTTTCACAGACCAAATCTCTGTTTCCTTGGTAACACCTGCAGGTTTACCTAAAACCTGGAACAATCATTGCCACCCCATGAGCTTCTCATGCAGAGGAAACCTTATTCACTACTCCAGTAAACAGGACAAACCTTAGATATGACCCAGCGACGGGAGATATTCTAGTCCGCCCAGCTCATGGAACCCATTAGCCCAGCTAGTAGCCAGAAAGGTAATGTTATCCTCCTGAGACCTGAACTTTTGTTTGGTTTGCATTTTTAATTTCTCCAAGCTTTGTGGGATCAATAGGACCCGATTAGTTTTAAAAGACTAAACATCATTAACGATAATAAAGTCCCAAGGTCTCCAAAAAGTACTTCCTACTTAACAGTGTCTTATCTTATTACTGTTGCTAAAGTTGGTCAAATTTGTTGCCGTATCAAACTACAACATTATTAATCATAAATAAACAAGTTTCACCCATAAAATCTGATCAGGTTTTGCTCCTTGTCCACTTTTGTGTCGGGATCAGCTGCAGACTGACTTGGCAGAGATGGCTGCCATCTTGTTTTTACCTGGATTAGTGTATTGTGCTCTTACTGCCACTAGGTGAGACAAAAACGTGTCCACGAACGAGGACAACAGGTCTATGTTAAGTAGAATGAAGTATAAGGTCAAGTAAACCCAAAATGTAATGTCCTCATATGAGGACACAGGGTCTCAGGAGGATACGCTAGCAAGATTCAAAGTCAATAGCATTGCATACAGTTGACAAACAGTAAATATAAATTGACAGTATGATTTTCAAGATTTTCTGGAACAAACAATCTGCCATGTGTAATGATACTGTTGGCCACAGCCTGAAGTTGCAAGCTGAATATTGGACGGGATGTGAAATGATTGCTTAGGTTCAGAGGGGCAATGTAGTACCTGCAGGGTGTGTGACAGTCTCCTTCCTTTGGTGTCCAGAGGACGAGGCACTGAAGGAAGACTCTCAGTGCTGGAAATTAATTGTTAACAGATTAATTGTTAACTCCTTTCTGTTAACAGAAACAGACAGTTTCACCGGTACTACTTAGTAGGTGTCCATTAGTTTGTATATTTTTTTAAAGATATTTTTTGGGCATTTTTGCTTTTAATTGACAGGACAGCTAAGCATGAATGGGGGAGAGAGAGAGAACGACATGCAGCAAAGGGCCACAGGCTGGAGTCGAACCTGGGCCGCTGCGGCAACAGCCCTGTACATAGGGCGCCTGCTCTATCCACTAAGCCACCAACACCCCGGTGTCCATTAGTTTTTAACGGACACCCTGCAGCCAATCAGAATCGAGTATTCACCCAGACCATGGTTTGATATAAGTTATATGGGCTGGCTGTGGCTCAGGAGATCCAGCAGGTCATCCACTAACAGGAAGGTTAGCGGTTTCATTCCTGACTCTTCCAGTGCACATGTCAAAGTATCCTTGGGCAAAATACTGAACCCCACATTGCTACCGATGGCATCAGTGTGTGCTCATATATAAATGTTTAAAAACCTGAGTAGGGGGTGGCAGCTTGTGGGGTAGCCTCTGACACCAGTGTATGAATCCGTGTGTGAATGAGTGAATGTGAAAGCAACTAGAAAAGAGCTACACACGTGCAAGTCCATTTACCATTTACCATATTGTCAGGTCTAAGTATCTGTTGCATGAAATTGAAGGACACAATGCAAAGATACGCCTCAGAATTTCTTCCTCAGACACACAACCTGATGCGGCACAGGTCTCCGCTGGTTTTACCTGTTGGTCTTATTGATACAGCATGCCATACTGCAGTGCACATTCGCACATATTCCTTCACCCGTCCGCCCAGTCACATGCAAACACACCCACACATTAATGTGACAATATTTGAAATGTTTTACGCAGCCACAATTTAATCCAACTTTGCCTGAAGCATCAATAGAGGAAAATCGGCAATTTCATTCTGGTATTTCAACATTCAGTCATATGGAGTGATTATTGTCTTCACACAAGCAGAAGCTCTGTCATGCATCACAATAACTCTCCTCTCCTCTGAATTGTTGCATTCACGTATCCAACTTATTCCACGGTTACTCTTTTGTAAAGCATGAATACAACTGTGTTAAATGACCAAAATAAAAATGTAAATATTGCTTCCTCTTCCAGGCTTGCAGAGGAGTTGTATCAGAAGGTGAAGAGATTATTTGGTGACCCCCATCAGGCCACAGAGGACCTGAAAGCAGAGGTAATTATAACTTCTAATCTTTACTCTTTTGTCTTCGATGTCCCTAAATTAATGATGTTAACTTAATGCTCCCCCCCGTCTGCTCCCACAGATAAAAGAGAAGCTCTCAGACCATGCAGGGAAGCTCCAGGAGGCCCAGGATCTCCTCCACTCCGCCCAGGGAAAGACGAGGCAGGCTGGCTCACTGGCTGAACAAAACCAGGCTAACCTCACAGCCCTGGAGGTGCACATTCACACAAACTCATACACAGCCACACACACACACACACACACACTCCCACACACAAGTTTAACATGCACAAACTCAGTCAGAAAGCTTGAATGCTGAATCATTTCTGTACTCACGATCACTCATTTAAAATCACGAGAACAATGAACCACTATTCAAGCACACTAATTAAATTCTGTCGTGTTTTTTTTTACTATGACAAGCAAAGGATAGATAGATAAAAGAATGACAGGAACACTGACAGTCAGCACTGGTGGGTTCTACACATGACCCTATCACCAGTTTTTGAGATGAAACTAAATAATTATCAGGTTGTGAACAAAAGGTTGTGTCTGTACTCTACATTGTTGTGTTAATAGAATCCATGTGAGTTGGCTGACTTGTATCACCTTAGTTTCAAATGAGTGACAACAGTGAAGTGATGGATTACTGTTGTGGGGGGTACTGAGCCCATTGTATGTGTGATTTTACACGCTAGTGTAGTGCCCATTCAAAACCTGCCTGTCATAATGGGCTGATTGCTCGGCCTGTGGTAGTGCTGCTTGCAGCTTTCTTAAGAACCGCTCATCTAAACAGCTTCTCACTTGACACTCCACTTCCTCAGGTTCTCAGCAATACAACCGACAAGTATGAAGTCGATCAGATGAATAAACTTCCTCTTAACCCTTTATACCCAGCCTTTTTTGAATCACTAGTCATTGCTATTACCTAGCTATTTGGGACCAGGCTATTTCAGGCATTTACTCCAAAAGCTCATACTTGAGATGTTTTGAGTTCGCTACAATTTAACACCTCTGGTCTCTCTTTCTTTATCTATTGATGAATGTACTGTAGGGAGTGACATAGATGGAGCTGTACCCAGCATGCCGTAAGGCGGAGTAGCAATTAAAGCCCCGTTTCCACCGAGCAGTGCGGTTCAGTTCAGTTCAGTACACTTTTTTTCTGTTTCCAATGTGAAAAGTTGTGGATGGTACCAATGGAACCGTTCCGTACCATCCCCATTTTTTGGTCCCCCCTCTGTTGGGATACCTAGCACACAGATCTGGTACTAAAAGGTGGGGCTGTGAACGCTGCAGTCCGTTGATTGGTCTGTAGTGGACTGTCACTCTGCTCAGGGCTGACTTTTGACTGGTATTGAGGCCGACTGCCGGGATTTTTAATTTGGAACGTTAAATTGTAATGTCACTAAATGTATGAGGTGACGACGTGAATCAATCAGCACATATGCTGTGGGCAACACTAAAACCCAGAGCATGCCTTAGAAGGGCTAGATGCACAAACTCACTATTTTTAAATATCCCATGGAGAGAGACTCTCACTGCAGCCTGTTTTAATTTGTTCTGAAAATGTCGGCATGCAGCCTGGTTCTGTGGACGATAAACGAGGTGCAGAGTACAGTGAGTGCTGGCCAGAGCAGTGAGCGACAACGACCCTGTCCACATTTAAGAGTACTGTTTGCAGTGGAAAGGCTAGGGTCTAGGTACCATGTCTGAAGGTTTACTTTTGGTTCCAAAGGTACCATACCGAAAGTGTTTGGTGAAAAACGGGGCCTTTATAGGCTTGTACGAGATGAGCCAGTCCGGCGCAGAATCAATCACCAGTAATAGCTGACAATGCAGGCCAGTTAGATCTGTGTCCTACATGATCCCGACTTGCTCTGATGTCATGCACACATGGCCAATGATAACCTCACAAGATCAAGGCAGCAACAGTTGTTGGTTGCACCAGGGGCTGCAGCTGCTCTCCATCTACCGTAAGACCCAGGGCTTTATGGGAAACTTCTGGTTGTCACCTGATCAATGAGCTGATTAGCTTTGAGTTTTGACCACAAACACCCTGTTTTATAGAAAATCCTAATCCTAATCCCTTTGCTGCTGCTTGATCTTGTCCGCTTTCCAGGGAATAATATAGTGAGCGATGGCGAGCAAGGTGTACTCAGCATGCTGTTTGGCATTGCAACAGTTAATAGGGTTCCTTTCTTAATACACTGCACAGTTTGCACTGCTGGCAGTAGTAACGCACTACTAATAAATATGTCCCATAGATCTCAAGAGGTCGCCCTCAACACTGCACGTCCTTGGGTGCTCAGCAATACCGCCACCAGGTGTGAAGTTAATTGGATGAAGGGTTGTTGAGAAAGTGAAGGACAAACACACAGACAGACTTCTTCCATTTTAGTTGAATAATAGTATCTAAACTTTTCGGGTTGTCTCAAACTTATAAAAAATTAAAGCCTATAACTCCTAAAGAATCGTAAAGATTGGAGCAGCTAAGCATCTATTCATCTCGCTACGTGTTCTTATTTTCCTTTCAACCCTTTTGCATATGATTCATCATCAAGGAAAGCTCACAGGCAGCACAGATTTCTAATAGAGCAAAACAACAAGCATTTATAGAGATGATTATTATACATGTCCTGGAGGAAACGTTCTGCAGCGATCACACACACATACAGTGTACTCTCCATCTTTCTCTGTCTTTACATCTGTCTTTGTGCCTCCCTGACCCTGCAGTCTTTTCTTCTCTACAGAAAAGCTTTATTCAGTGAAGAAAGTGGAATATGCACTCTATACACACTGGGGTTGTACAGAGTTCATACTTATTTCATCAAATCACTAATTGTGTGTCCCATGTGTCCTCTAACTGCTTTTGTGATTTTCAATAACTGGAAATCTTTTTTACCATAAGGAGGTTTTTAGAGCTAATCAGTACAGAAAATAATAATCTTTCTGAGTGATTGCGCTGTCTGTCAATATTATGGGAACCACAGATTCAATTTAGATTTGACATAAACAAACCGACCAAAAAATACTGTAAAAGCCTCACAGACTCAAACACAGGCTCTCCTATACTGCTGGTGTGCATCCAGGTATCTGTGCATTACAGATTATAAATATATATATATATATATATATATGTTTTTATTTATACTTATTGACTGAAAATACTCAAGGACTGTTCTGACCATATCGACATATAGTTCCAGTAGAAGAGAATCTTTGTCCATGAGACTTGTAGGTTAAATATACAATCCAACACATCATCTCAGAAATGTTCTTGTGTTGTTACAAAGCATTTACCAAGGATGTTTGCTCATCAGAGCTGAAATAATTAATCGATTATGAAATCAACAGTAAAATAATTGGCAGCTCTTTTAATAATCGTTTGACATTTTCCATCTTCTCAAGCATTTTGATCTTCTTCATTTCTTTGTCAAAACAAATTAACGATCTTGAGGTTTTGGAACGTTGGTCAAACAAAACAAGCAATTTGATGACATCACTTGGAGCTGTCGGACATTTCAATGGGTTTTTTTTCTTTTACCTGATATTTTATAGACCAAAAATTGAATTTATGAATTTAATTTTAGAAAGTAAATTAAAAAAGTAAATTTAAAGTAAATTTAATAAAGCTGGATGTCCACTGGATCAGTCGCATGCGCGATCCGGCCGAGGCGCGGGTGCTGGAGCTAATCGCTGCCATTCAAGTCAAATGTAAGCTGTTCCACTAGAAGTGCCGCGGCGCGTCTTAGCCGAGGCCTAGAAGCAGCTTGCTGCTCCGCCCGGCTAAAAGTATGCACCGGGTCTATTTTTGACGGACGCCGTGCGACAGTGCGTCAGTTTGCACAGACCAAATGAGTCAAACAGGAAGTCAGGCGCAGAAAAGACAAGAGTATCCGGTCAATTTTCAAAATAAAACACCCATCAAAACTCTGGATCACGAAATGGCCTACATTGGTCAATGTCCGGCAGGCAGAGAAATCTTTTCTTTGTTTGTTGATGTCTTTATATCTCCAGGGTTTCCGCAGATTATCACGTGACATTATGATAATGCGATCCGCCAATTCCAGCCGCTTGCGTGCGCGGCGCGTCCAGTGGACATTGTCGCCCGGCACAGGACAGAGTCCGCGCCGCAGCCGAATCGTGCACGCGACGGATCCAGTGGACACCTGGCGAAAAGAGTCCTTTTCAGATGTTTTTCGAACATTGATAATGTGATGTAGAGATGGAGGAAGGCTGTTCCGAAGAGATGGTCCTCTGTATTTCAACATGAACATTGATTAATGTCAGACAATATGGAAGATAAAAGTCCATAGAGTCTTGTGGAATATGAGGGAATGTCTGAGGAACACCTAAAAAAGTTCTGAAAAGCGCTCAGCAAGTCAAGAGTGAGATGTACGTATTTACACATGAATACACAAGTCTGGTATATGTTCACATTAAAAACTGATAAAAGTTGATATTTTCTAAAGAGAGAAGCAGATAATTCACATTTTTTAGCAAAGGTAATCATTCTCTAAATTCTTTTGAGTTAGAAAGATCGTATTGAGATAAGTGGGACATGTGGCAGCCCAAGCAGTATTACAATACATAATACGAGGGTAAAATAAGCTGTAGTAAAATGTTATATATATATAGGGATGATCAACCAGTGAATGAACTATACTTAAGATACCAATTAACTTCATGTTCTTTTTACAGACAAGTTCAAAATGATATTTCCAACATAGTTTTTCATTTGCTATGACCCCTAGAAATTTAATGTGAGTAACCAAGATGAGCATCAGCAAAATAATCAGGAATGAAAATAGCAGTTACTTGCAGCCCTGATGTCCATACATTGGTAAATCAGAATCTTTTTCAGCAATCGATTGTGGGTTTTTTTTTTTGTTTGTTTTTTTACAGAGGAAGCGCTCCGCTGTGAGCGGGCTGAAACAGGAAGCACAGGAGGTCCTTGGAGATGGAGAACGTCTACTGGATGAAGCAAACCAGCTTTCTGATAACATCAACAAGGAGATAGAGGTGAAATAGTCAAGCTAGCAGAAAACCTGTGAATGCAGTCTGCTGTTGATTAGTCTGTCCGAGATTTGTGTCTTCTCGCATTGGGAGAGTGGAGTTCGTATGAGTTGAAGAATATCTCTCTGTGTTTTGTCTTTGTCTGTTTGCTGTAATCTTTCTTTGATTTAAATAATTTCATTGCCATTAAATACAGAATTACTACCTAAACAATTAGAAAGGATGCAAACAGAGAGTGATTTGAATGCGTCCGTCAAGCAAAGCGAGCAGAGCCTCTGTTTTCTGTCTGTAGGACTTGGAGGGGATGGGACGAGAGCTGGGTCCTCTTCATGACCAGCTGGATGACAGAGTGACTCACCTCACTGATGGTTTAAGTGACGGCGGCCTGGATAGTCACGTACATGATGCAGAGGAACACGCCAAGCAGCTGAACGAATCTGCTGCCATTTTGGACAGGTAACACATCACTGCACATTTATATATGTTAACACCAGGTAAATCTACTTTAGATAGGGCTGGAACTAGGAGATGATTAATCAAACGAATTGTGGATTTACCATCAATTAGTCTATAATAATTGTGATAATCAATTCATTGTATTTGTTATTTATCAAATAATACTGTCAAACATTAGCTGGTTAGTTTCTCAACTGAAAAGACTTGTTTTTTCAGGTTTGTTTTTGCCTCTTTAATGTGAGTGTGCTTGATTAAATTTCTTCTGGTAATTTGGACCATTGATCAAAAACACTTGTATTATTTCAAGCTCCTGAAATGTGCGATGGCCAAATACTAATTGATTGATCTATGACACAAAAATAATGACATTTTAAATTAGGGCTGTCAAAGGATTAGTTTTTAAAATTCACTTTTTCTTTAATTGCAGGTTTTAAATTCCATTATTTTACATTTCAAAACAGTTGAAAAATCAAGATTGGTAATTACATGAATGCAAAGAAATTTATCTTATGATCTTGATCTTGATCTTGATCTTCCCCCTCTCTTTATTTAATTATTTATTTATTTCAGATCAGTGCTGCACTGTTACAACAGTGTGGTCCAAGAGACAAAATAGCAGCATGCAAACAACCCTCTGAGACCCATATACTGTAGACCTATTTTTGTCTTTTCTGTGGGGTACAGGGGATCTTTTGGGGGTGATAGCAGGTCAGCATTATATGCCACATAGAAGTGGTATTTGTCACCTGAAAGCTGGAAATCTGAAGATTAATTTGAGATGCAGCTCAGCACTGTGTCAAGTTTTACAAGTCATAAATATGTAATAAACACTGGATGCAAAAAAGTATATAGTTTGTGCCCAAAGCTGTATGAGACTAACATAAAGTGGACATGTCTGTAAAGGGGAGACTCATGGGCACCCACAGATACCATTTTGATTCAGATGAGATTCAGATCTCTAGATGAGAGGTCAAGGGACCTCTGTGAAAATGGCCATGCTGTTTATCCCTCGGCAAAATTAAGGCAATTTGGAGTATTATTTTGTCCTAGTTCAGCTATCATAACATGGTTAGTACCACTAGATTCCTCTGGTCTTCTACTACGATACTAGTATAATCACTTTAGCTTTAATACTCAGACATCTATAGCCTCTGAAAGACAGGTGGTGGCAGAAATAAATAAAATGAACGCGTAATGTTGGACCATTAATCACATTGCGATTAGCACGTTAACACTGACAGCCCTATTTTAAATACAAGAATTACACGAATAGAATAATTGATATTGCCACCCTAAAAACCACCGCACTGTGTTTGTGGTTGACATGTAATCTTGGTTGCCTTCGTTGTTAATTTCTCCCCGATTTTGGATCACATTTTAGCTGGAACATGTGTTAAGATTTTGGTTTAGAAACCTTTACTGCAATTCCCGCTATTACCTTCATTCCCTGGCTGCAAGTACACTGCCACATGTACTCTCATACTAACATCATGTTTTCTTGGTCGCTGATGTTATCATTTCTTCCTGGTTTTGGATCATTTTCCTGCTAGAACATGTCCAGTTGTGAAGATTTTGGTTCAGAACCTTTGTTGCAGTTGTGGATGCTCTAATGGGGCACCCAAGTAGTCCACTGGGTAGTGCCCATACCATTAAGGCTGAGTCCTTATTGCAGCAGCCTGGGTTCCAGTCTGACCTATGGCCTTTTGCTGCAGTCTCCCCTCTCTCTTCCCCCTTTCATTCTCACTATCACAATAAAGGGCTTTTTCAAGAGGGGGCCTTAAAGAGACAGACACCAAGCATAGCATTTCAGTCAGAGCGTGAATACAGGTGTTTCAGCACAGACAGTATGAGGAGTATTAAGTGTTTATTTAACATTAAAGCATGTAAACATGTTCTAGTTGAAACCCAAAATACAAGTATGAACCTAAAAATGAGCACAATAGGTCCCCTTTAAGAAAATGTGTGTACAACATATCAAAAGAGAAATATCAAAGTGAGATCTGTTTCTCTCTTTTGTCCTCACAGTATTTTAGCCGAAGCAAAAAACCTCTCCTTCAACGCAACAGCTGCCTTCAAGGCCTATAGCAACATTAAAGCAAATGTGGATGCAGCGGAGAAAGAGGCGAAGGCAGCCAAACAGAGGGCAAGTGAGGCGCTGGCGCTGGTAAGTGGACACGTACACCAACACACAAAGACACACGCACGACCATTGACTAAATTCAAAGCAGCAATTTCTTATTTAGTCCAACTGCTTCCTTCAGGGTTTAACGAAATATCCCATTACTTTTATTATGTTGTCAATTCATTATGAGGAAAACATCCTGTGTCTGATTAGTCTCACTTTCCATGTTTTCCAATACTTTATTTATTGCACGATTGTGAACAACGAAAAGCTGAACTGTACATGTTTATTTATACTTCTGTTCAGGTACTGCACACATACTGTAAATACTGAGTACAAGCATTCTAGCTATCCACACTATGAAAGTGTATCCGCAGCACAAGAGATGGTGTGTGTGTGTGTGTGTGTGTGTGTGTTTGTGTGTCTCGCATGCAGTAACAGTAATGTAAGCTCAGGCTCTCCATTAGTCATGGCTGAGAGATCAAAGCACTTCTCTGTCCCTCTTCTTCCATCTTTTTTTCTCCCCTCTCCTTCTTTCATTATCGTGACCACACACACCTGAAATCTCCTTTTTTCCTCTCTCTCTTCACTTCTTTTATTTCTTAATTTATTCATTTTTTTCCTGCATTCCCTCTCTCTCTTTTCCCCTGTTCTTGTTTCAAACACCTTTTTGTTCATTTCCCATTTGTTTGCTTTTGTCTTGGTTACATTGCTCCCGTTTGATTTTCTTTCCCCCCTTTATTCTATAATAGTTTCTTTTGCTCTCTGTTCCTTTTTCTTGTCCTGTGTGCCAGTTCATTTATTTGTGCTCTTTTTTTTTCCTGCCTTTTCTTTTTCGACTCCATTTCTCGTTTGCATTTTTCACCTCTATGTTTCTTTTCCTTTGGCAAGAACGAGGTAAAGGGCAAAAGGAGAAAGGGATAAAATGACAGTGAAAGGAGGCAGAGACATAAAGAAAGAAAGGGTTGAAGGAGGAGAATGAATGTGAGAAGTTAATTCGGCTGAATGCATTTCCTAGAATACCATTTAGCAATGCAAAGTAGTGGTGCTTTGATCTTACAGAAAGGTAGCATGCAGATTATTGCACCTTTTTATGTATGACGAAACATATTTTTTAAATTCATGTGTGGGATCTAAATTATTCTGGAAGCATTTTTTGTGTAGGCATGCAAAGTCACGGATTTTGCGCTGTTGCTCTCTTTGTATGCGTGTGTGTGTGTGTGTGTGTGTGTGTGTGTGTCTAGGCTTTAGATCCAGAGGCCCCAGTAAAGGAAGCAGCTGAAGGTGCCCTTCAGAAGAGCAACAGACTGCTAAACCAAGCTAAACAACTTCAGAATGATGTCAAAGGTAACCATGAGTGTATGCTATAGACAGTATGAGCAGCAACTTATTCTTGTACAAGAAGCTGTAGTCTCTAAAGTTTTATTAATTTAAAACATTCTTACCGCTATCAATGTCGCTCTTCATTTCGCCTCTCTAGACTACCTGTCAGTCACTCTTCCCATTAGGGAGGCGAGGGAAGTATTTTTATTAGTAGGCAGCCTTGGCTTCAAATCAAACTATCATCGTGTGTGTGTTTGTGTAGAAAATGCCGATGGCGTGGCCGGGCTGAAGGGCAGAGTTAAAGCAGCGAGAGACAAAACCAAAGACCTGCTGAAAGCTGTCAACGGAACCATGGCAACGCTCAACGCTATCCCCAACGGTATGGCTGCACAAAACACACAGTGTGTATATGAGTGTGTGTGTGTGTGCGTGGGAGTGAGATAAAGAGAGAGTGGATCAATATCACTGTGCCGATAGAGGTCAGTTGCTCTGGTAAACTCAACTTGACACATGTCAGTACTCTCAGATACACAGACACACAGAAATGCACTGCAGTGATAGCGGGGTTGTTGAACCACAGTGATGCACATGGTTGCATTTGGATCAACACGCAGAGAAGTGTTAAATACAGCTACTACAAATTGTAAATGGAATGAACCCAGAGGTTAACACAACATATTTAATTCCAATTTAAATCCCTGTGAGTGAGTAAACACGTTGTGGTCAGATTGCTCGAGACTGAACAGCTATCAGTCTGATTTTCTGACGAGATCTACTCAACCTGGTGGCAAAATCAGATCTTTCATCAGGGCTGATGTTCTGCAATTATTATCTATTGGTGTGATGGGTTCACAGTTTCAATCAGAAACAACCTCAGAAGTCAGAGCTTGGAATGACTGTGATTTGACTATGTTTTAGTTTAACAAGTTAGAATACCATTAGCAGTCGCAGCATCACCAGCTCTAGCCAGGTTAGCCATTGTTAGCAGTCTCACTTGTAACAGCACATTATACAGTATATTGTAAGTGCTAATAAACAGTATATTACTACAGCTTTGACTACAGTTGATCGTGGATATATGAAGAGAACTCAAATACAGTGAAGAACATGGGGCCTCGTTCATTTCTCCGAATGTCGTCAAGTGGCGCATAAGCCAAAATGGTTCAACTGCCGCGTATAAAATTACCCCAGTGACCAAGGGATTATTGGCACTATTTCTGTGCTGTGCGGCCCATAGAGCAGGCACACGAGAGAGCCACCACAGCAGAGTGTCTTACTTCTGCTGGCTGAACAGCTAACATCTGGTTTTATCTTGCAGCTCTTTTAGACTTTCCAAATGTCATCTGACCAAATGGATTAAATGCTGATGGTGAACCAGTCATTTTGCAGGGGCATCTCTTTCGCCATTTAAGTCAATGAGGAAAAGTCTTTTTAGGGCCGCACTTCCTGGGGGCCTGCTGTTGATCCGTGGAGCAGCATCTTGGATTTTGAGGTCGTGGTTCCCCTACATTCCGAGTCAGAAATCTGACTTAAGGAGGAAACTAAAGGAAACTCAGAATTCTGACTCCCCAGTGCAAATGGAACACGCCATTATTGACCTCTGTGCACATTCAGTACTACAAGGTCCCAGTGTGGGCAGTGTTTTAGTAGTCAGCAATATAGTTTTGTTTATTGTGTTAGGCAAAATAGTCTGATGTGCATAGATTACAACAAACCAAAACTGAAGATACAGTTAGACCCACAGCATGTGCTAATATCATAAACTTAAACATATAAAATATGTACTTGTCTGTATAGTATACTGTTTTGGCAGCTAATATACACACAATTAATGCACTTCACCATTTTGTATTAAGAGGCTTTTATACAAAATCTGTTTCAACTAATGGCAATGAAACTGCGTCTTTAAAAAGGTAGTGAAACTTTCCCCTCAAAGTTTTGCATTTGTGGGGTTCTCTTACTAAAAACATTTCATTTTCAAAAATTCCAAATATAAGCAGCTCGTCAGTTTTTGATGTACAATGGGGCAATATTTAAAGTTCAGAGAGAAGTATTTATAAATCATATCATATTACGTATGCTATAAAACTGAGTAATGTATGTAATTTGTGTAGCTTTTATTTATCTTTTTTTTACATTCTGCATTCACAGACACAGCAGCTAAGCTAGCAGCCACTAAGGCTGTAGCAGCAGATGCTAACGCCACGGCCATAGACGTCCTGGAGCGCCTTGGGGAGTTGAACCTGCAACTGTACGGCCTTCAGAGGAACTACAGTGACTTGGAGGACACTGTTAATGTAGCCAATCAGATGATCCAGGACCCAGAGAAAAACAGTAAGGTTCACAGTAACATAGTCTAGTAATAGAGTCGTGCAGGATTATGTCCGAAAACACAGAAATGAGTCAGCACTTTTGACTTCCAATTCCCTTGTCTGGAAGTCAGTGTATTTTTTTGAATGGGTTTTTGTTAGATGCCTGATATAAGGTCTGTGGTTAACACAACGAGAAGGATGTTTTCATGTTTTGTCCTACAAAATAAAAAATGTCATGAATTTGGAATCTTTTACATGTCTTAAAAAAGGCTGTTGCTGACAAGAAGCTAAATGGAGGTACAGAATGTCATTACACCAAACAGCCTCTTTGTGTTGAAGACGTTAAACTCATGCTACCGCAGTGTGGTTCATTTTAATCTAATGTCAGCTTTTTTTTCTAGTAATTTCATTAATACTTAATTTTTGAAAATTACTTACCTAGTATGATGAGTGTTTGTTTGCCACAGAGCTTAATTTGTCATAAAATCCAGACAAAATAGCATTTGTCGAGGGAACTAGGGTGACGCTAACTTTCAGGTTTGCCTACAAAACATCATCCTTGCACCATTCTGTAGTAGTAATATTAGCAGGAAAATATTGTGTTTTGGATGTTCCTGGAAACATTTGTGAGCTTGTTTAGTATTGATAAAGATTTCTTTTTGATTAACTGATTACTTAGAACTATGAGTGCTCTCTGAAAAAAATGTTTCTGCTACTGAGCTGCTTTTGTGTGACAAAAAAAAATTGTTTTCTATTCATACTTTATTCATTTAGTTTTGTGATTTACCTCCTAAAGCTTCTAGTTTCAGAAACCGAGATAAGAGAACCTCGAAACTCAGTGCCAGTTTAAAGATTTCTAAAATGATGTCTGTCATTTTTTTTACTTTTTGGAGCAATTAAGCCACATAAATGATGAATTTAACCAAAACCTGATATTTTTTTCTCTCTGTCTCTCTTTTTCTCAACCCCCACAGCCATCAGTATGTATATTTCAATTATAAGTATAAGTATTATTATACGTGGTGCACCAATACCATGTTGTAATTACCCAATAATGATGAGAGTACAGACTTGTAGGCATTTATCGGCTTTCCATCCTGAAATAATTTGTTGGGACATTTTCAATTACCACTTAAACACTGTATCATCAGCAGCATTGTGTTTATGTGCTGTTTTGAGCGAAATCAATAGCAACTATGTGAAAATGATCCGATTTCAACAACAGTATTGGAGCACCACCCATTAGTTTTATGAGCCTCTTTAATAGCTATACAGTCAACAGTAGCTGCTTCTAATAATGCCTCTGTTCCGCTCTGCTCTGCTCCGCTCGAGCATGAGAGCTCTGCGCTCTGCAAAGCATGGAGCTCTGTCTTTTTATTTCTATCTTGCTCTTTCTTTTTTATTCTTATTTTCAGTTTCAAGCCTGTACAATGTATAATAGTCAATAATGTAAAAATGTTCTCTTTGAATGCTGAGCTACACTAATTGCTCGGCTCTCACTGGCTTCTCCATCTCTCCCGCTCTTTCTCCTTCTTTCTCCTCCTTCTTTGAGTAATATTGGTGATTTCCTCAGCTGCCATCATTTGTCATCCTTTCCTCACTCTTTACACGCTAGCTCTCCACATTCTCTCCGCTATAATATACTGTACAGTGCTGACGATAACCACTACCGCACTGTTCTCTATCACTACTGTACTTTATCTCTCCGTCTTCAGTCCACGCTGCAGGAGCTAAAGTGAAGGATTTGGAGGATGAAGCCGACAGGCTGTTGGAGAAGCTGCAGCCAATCAAAAAGCTGCAGGACAATTTGAGGCGTAACATCTCGCAAATCAAGGAGCTGATCAACCAAGCCAGGAAACAAGCTAACTCAGTAAGTTGTTGACACATTTTTTTGGCCTTATTCCATAAAAAGACAATATTTCTATTAAGCATTGAAAAACACTGAATAAAGCAGTTTCAAGTTACGAATCAGTGTTTGTCTAATGCTGTTTGGCTGCTAGCCTTGTACTTGTTGATTTGTGCTCATTTTTTTTTTTCCTGGTAACTCAAGATTCACACTTTTAGGAGGTTTTTATTGGCAGATGAATTATCTGCAGAGGTCTTCTCCACTCCAAAACAAACTTACCAGGTGATTTAAACTGGTAAAAAAAAACAACAACCCACTAATAAAGCAGTGTTTTTCCGAAACTCATTGCGGAGAGCCTAACTACAGTGGCCGACACAAAAACGTAACTGGCCTGTCAAGAGTCTCTGTTTGGTTTGTCTGTTCCGGGCTACGGTAGAAACATGGCAGTGCAACATGGTGATCTCTGTGGACGAGGACTTATTCCCTTTGTAGATGTAAACAGCTCATTCTAAGCTAACGAAAACACAACAGCTCTTTTTTTCAGGTTATTGTACATTAAAGAAGCCATACTTATTAAATTATATTCCTTTCTGCCAATATATATCCTCCTAAATCCTACACACTGGACCTTTAACCCGGTTTTGAAATAGTTTTGTTTCACTACATATAAAATAAATCCAAACTCAAAGAGCAAGATGGAAGTTCTGCACATTTATGCTCTTTCTTCCTCTTTCCAGATCAAAGTGTCAGTGTCATCAGGTGGTGACTGTCTCCGTAGTTACCGCCCCGACATCAGGAAAGGGAGGTACAACACCATCATCCTCCACGTTAAAACCACCACACCTGATAACCTGCTCTTCTACCTGGGATCAGCCAAATATGTAAGTAGTGTTGAACTTACTTACTGAGCATAAAGCACAGATTACATCAAATACGCTAAACTGTCCAGAAAGAATATATCACTGTCAAAACTACAGTTATAGATACATCTTGTCTTTGCAATGGTATGCTCTTTGTCACTGAATCATAGATCTTTTCAAGAGGCCTATTATAACCTTAGCTTCAGCCAGAGAAGCAATATGACTACCGTTTTTATGCATTATGTTTTTGGGTTGTCCGTCCATCCGTCAGTCCGTCCCATTCTCTTGAACATGATATTTCAAGATTGCCATTAGTTTCCTCAAATTTGGCACAAACGTCCACCTGGACTCAGAGATGAACTGATTAGAATTTGCTGGTCAACGGTCAAGGTCACTGTCACCGCACAAAACTCAAGAATTCATACAGTAATAATGACACTATTTCACACAAATATCTAAATGATGACATTTAATATCCAAAAGGTCAAAGGTCACCTTCACTGTGACATCATAAAAACACTTTTCTGGCCATTATTCAACATCATTAATCAGGAACAGGAGAGAGATTTGGTCAGATACTGAATAGTGGTGACACAAATCTTGGGCGCCCACTTCACCCATATTTGAAGCATTGTCAACTGTCATGGCTACAGACAGGGATGTAAACTGGAACTGCAATTTGACTTGTTAATGGAGGCGCACAACTATGAGGCAGTTTTCTAGTTTGTTTGTTGTTGTTGTTTTTTGTTTGTTTGTTTTTTCATTTCATCTGGCCAAAATTTCAAAAATGTTCTCACAAGGCAGGGGACTGCCAGGAGTTGGTCCTCAACTGTGATACATCATGTATGCAGCAACCTAAAGGAATCATTCAGAGTTGTATTTGAAAAAAAAAAACAAATGAATTGTTGTATATAAGCACTCATTACGTGTGTTTGGTAACTAATATGTCTTTGTGGCTCCCTGAGAAAAAAATGGCTGAATTTTGTCCGTATATGGCTCTGGTATTATTGTGAACCAAACAGAAAATCCAGTTGACATTTTCACATTTTTTTAAATGTTTCATATTAAATCATTAATCATATTTAATACAATGTTGAGGGGCTATATATTGTGTAGCATTTATCATACTTGAAAATGCCTGCTTTCTAAGGGCACGCACACACGCGCACAGAAGTATACATTCACACTTGCACTCCTCTTTCTCAGACACACACACATGGACTACACACACTCCCAGAGTGATTTGTCTAATATGAGAATAATTAATACTTCTTGACACTTACTCACTAACACCCCTATAAACATAGCAACCTGCTGTTTTAAGGTATCACTGATAATCCCTGTGTGTGCATGTGTGTGGGTGCGTGCTTATGAATATGTGTGTGTGTCCTTAGGAGCAGAAGCAATTAACAACAAGTTTATGTTGCTATCTGCTTTATTCTGATTTCCCCCAAGAAATCACTGCTTTGCTTCATCTGACTGTGAAGTCTTGAACTCGCATGCACGTGTGTGTTTGTGTGTGTGTCGCTCACTAATATTCTCTAATAGTGAAGAATTCTGTATGAATAGTAATGCTCTGTGTGTGTGTGTGTGTGTGTGTGTGTGTGTGTGTGTGTGTGAGCGAGCGCGCACCTCTACCATCTCACTAATAGTGTGTAATGCTAGTTGAATAATAACGATGCTGCCCTGTGATCTGTGCTAATGAATAATCGCCATTACCCTGGAGAGACTAGAAAGATAAGTGTGTGTAGCTGTGTGTGTGTATATGTGTGTCATTTGTGTCTTCAAATGTGACTCCCTAATAATCTCTAATTGTGCATAATACTATATGAATAATAATGCTGTGTGTGTATGTGTGTGTGCACCAGAGACAGCATCCAGATGAGAGCATATGCTCAAAATTCTTATTAATTTTTTTGGCTCATACATAAGTAATACAGCCATTAATCAAAATACAGCAAGATCCTGTGAAAATCCACTTATAGAGACAGATGGAGAAAACTTCAGCCTTTGTACCCTCAGAATAGAGCAGGAATGGGTGTGAAGCCGCACCGCTGTGCGCTCATTCACTATTCCCTGCATGATAAATACTCTATAAGGTTCTCTATAATAAGTAATAAATTGAGAATGTGGGTACTTATTAATCATCATCTTTTTGCATCACCACCAACCGTGTTGCATAACTTCTGTGTTCTGTCATTTTAGGAGCAAATGCAATTTCCAACAAGCAAAACTCTGCTGAACAGCAAAGTGAATGAAAGTTTATTATCTGCTTAGTTAGATACACACTGTATTCACAGCTGATGGCCAGATGTTTATCTGACGACATCTGGTTGAGCTTTGTGAGTCCAGATGATCAGTATGCGTATCTTGCCCGAGTTTAAACCTGAGCTTGACCTGTTTTATCTGCGATCAGATAACCATGCAGTCTTTCAAAATACACATTAACGTCAGACTGAAAGGCCTGGAGGCAACTAAATAAAACCTTAGTTAAGGGTAAAAGGTAAATCCACTGCTGACAAAGCTACTTTCACCAGCTTCTCCTCTCAACTCAATTTCTGGTTACATTGCTGACATTACCACCATCATACAGTGTTTGATTAGTTGAGGCATGTCCTCCAAGGTTTTCCATCACCATTGTCATCATTCCCATCACATTTCAAGGATAACTCCCCTGGCTTTACACTTTTGGGACCTTAAGTAAGGACATTTAATTTGTCTCTCATGAGACCCCCCACTTTATTGCTTTGCAACGTTTATGCGGTACACATTTAATACATGCACTGGCGTACATGTGCTGCCGTGGGCAACTGTATGGTAACAACACTGTGTCCTTTTTGGTATTTACTCTAGGGATGTAAAGAGGTAAAATGCTGGCAGCATCAAGCTAGCAAAGAGTGTTATTTCTATATAATGGAGGATATAAAGGGATAAAATTAAAAAGCAGTGGCGGGGCTTTTACTCACCACAACTGCAGAGGCTCCCAGCTTCATTTGAAACAGACTACATTATAAACAGGCTATGATTTGTTATTCTTTCTGTACTTTTATATTTTTAACTTTTTTTCTGCCCCCGTTTGCCCTGTCATAGTTAATGCATCGTGTTCAAACTCAACACTTCCTGTATCTGTTTCAAATATAAAGCCCCTTATAACCTCGGCTGAGAGAACCCTTCATTTTCTAAATGGGCTTTTATTGTGAAACACTTGTAGGAACTTGTTGTGGAGGATTCAGTGACTTGCATAGTTTGCATCCAGTACTTCAAACATAGTTCCTGCCATCTGCTGGCACTTTTTTACATTACTACAACAACATTTCAGCTGTCACATAAACAGACACAGTGACTGAAATAATAGTAATAATAATAAAAATAGGACAAGAATAACCTGATGACATCACACACAATGTGAAAGACAACCAGCGATGATTGGTCGTGGACCAGCGTGTAGTCTGTCGGCCAAGTCACGGCACAATTTTACGACTCCATAGTTCCATAATCTGACATAGTGACAAAAATGTCGTGTAGTGTGAACCAGGCATTAAGAAGCATTCAACCAGTGAATGTTTGGCTTTTTTGCTTAAAGAAAATATTAAAATGATGATTTGATTATCAAAAAAATTGCAAATTAATTTCATTTTCTTAACTGACTTCATGATGCGGCTCTACTGTAAATACACTGGCCCTTTACAGGATTACGTGTTTAACTAAAGTATAAGGTTTAAAATTAAATTATTTCTCCTGGATAAAATACATCAAACCTAAATAACATCAATAGGTTGGCCTTCTCTGTGTATCTTCATTTATCTCACTCTTCCTTCTCTCCTTATTTATTCTCTTCAGTTTTTTGTTGACATGATGATTTATCTCAAGCAATACAGAGCACAGTGTCACATTTCAAAAACAGGTTATCTACGGTACATTCATTTCTTCTGTGTGTTTCAGGTTGATTTCCTGGCCTTGGAGATGCGTAAGGGGAAGGTCTATTTCCTTTGGGACGTGGGTTCAGGTGTGGGGAGGGTCGAATATCCTCATCACACCATCCATGATGGGAACTGGCACAGAATAGAGGCATCTCGGTGAGACATTTGCACACACAAACGCGCATGCTTTGTTTCTCTGACATGTTTACAGTGTTTCTCAAACAAACTGGCTTCCAATGCCAACATGGATGTTGGCTGCAGTACAAAGAATAGTCACATCTTACGTTTCACCTTGGAAGAGAAGGAACCTTGAGGAGCATAGTAATGACACACAGCTTGTGCACTTACATTATATTCAGACATACATACATATGCAATACATGCATCCTCAAATTGAACTTACAATGTTAGAGAGTGGCATCACAAAGGAGATCCATTGCAGAGCAAATGGACAGATACACTGACATGGAAATGTGAAGCACTTACTGGATCTCCATGTCCACTCAATGATAAACATCAGCAACCTATTAGTTAGATGCAGACACACAGTACAGTATTTATGGACAATATGTATGTTAGATTTTACATTTAAACAAAACATGGTGATTCAAAAACCCAAATACTCTGCGCTTGAAATATTTATTATTTATTATTTGTTTGTATCATTATTGTGAGCTTTTTTAAGTTGTAGTCGCAAAAAAAAAAATGTCCTGGTTATTTTGGAGAGGCCTGTAGTTACTGTGGTAACAGCAAATGTGGTTTCATACCACAGGTCACAGACTCTGGGGGGGAGCAAAACTATTTTTTATTTAATAAAGTAGTCAGGCAATAATTGTCCTTTTTCCATCATTCTGTTAGTAACTGTGATCTGATTTTACGCTGCACACAGCAGGACACAGTGAAAGGTGGTGGTTACATTACTAATACATTTGAGCTGTGCAGCCTGTCGCCCGCGGCTCTTCAAAAGGCTGCTGGTTTTTGTTTAATTGCTGATTTGATCGTGTAATATTTAAAATAGTGATCCACCAATATGGACATTTTTAACTGATACCAATAACCAATAATGACCTGCTCCTCATGGCAGATAACCGATACAATAACTGATAATTTCACATTTTTGTATTTCAAAAAAAGAGTGTATAACCTGTAGTTTATGTACACCTGAAGGTAGGAAAGGCTAAAATGTAGTGTCTCTATCGGCCAATAATTAATTGCATCCCTCATTTCAAACTCAGCCACTGTCAACAAATGCTGAAAATGACCATTGTCTTGTTTTGTAGACACATTTTTTAATGAACGATAGCGGTAAGTGCAAGGCTCACTGAAAAACATATTGCATTTCCTGTGACTACTTCATAATAAAAGTCAACTTGTGTTTCACTCGTTACATGCTTTTAATTTGAAGCAACAGCAGTAGGTAATGTTGGATTTGCATTAGCATTAAAGGAATACTGCAACCAAAAATGAAAATTCAGCCATTATCTACTCACCCATATGCCGATGGAGACTCAGGTGAAGTTTTAGAGTCCTCACATCACTTGCGGAGATCCAAGGGGAGAGTTGGTAGCAACATAACTCCACCTAATGCAGGCTGACGGCGCCCCAGATTCAAATGTCCAAAAACACATAACTGAAACCACAAAATATCTCCATACTGCTCTTTCGTATTGATCCAAGTGTCCTGATGCTCTGACATAAAAAGTTGTTTGGAAAAACGTCATTTGAACTCTGTTTTTAGCCTCATTGTAGCCTGCAGCTCTAACTGCCTCTCTGTGCACTGCGTTCACGTGTGCGCGCTTGTGTGAGACCGTGAGACGTGGGCACCGCGTTCATGTGTGTTCACGTGCTTTTGCTGGTCTTGTGCGCAAGCTGCACACATAATACTGCACACATAAAATATTGCAGTACTTTCATCAGTGTGACATAGGCTCAATCCCCATTGTGTCACCTCATTTCATGACACATAGCAACTTAACAGGCATTTATTTAAATCATAATCTTCAGTGTTATTACCCAAAGTAGTGAGGGTGTAAATCATCAGCTTCATCACAATACAATATTATATTGATTCTTTAGACAACAATAAGGTATTTTATGAAATCTCATCTGGATGCTGTCTATGAAATCTACAATACGATTTTGATTTGATGCGATTGTGGGGCCTGTGATTGATATGAGACAATTTCATATGCCCATTTAACACAACTGGTTACAGCAGAAGCTGCCACCCCTTTCTTTTTTTTGCTTTTGGCAAAGATAAAAACAACACAGAAATAATGTAATGTAACCGTTTACTTTAAACTGACTCCACTAACACATAAAACAGCACATGGGATTAGTTAACCTTAGGAGCTTTCTGCCAGAAAGTGCTTTCTGGTAGAAACCTTTTCATTTCAACCCAAACCATCATCTTTTCCCTAAAACTTCAGGTCTATCTGGCTTAAAGCCCTGAAGGCAAAATGTCATTAAACATGGATTAACAGCACATTTGAATTTCAGCCAGCATGCACATTTATTCAGCTGAACATTGTTGAAACAGATTAGCTAACGTTGCTGTCATGAGAAGTTAGCGGAGTGAGATGCCCGCCCAGACAGATACGTTATGTCTTATCTCATAACGGCATTGTTCATGTGTGGCATGTGCTCTGTCTGTTAAACCCTTATTTTCTCCAAAATCCCAAATATTTCTCATACAGTACCTATCTCCCGAGTAAATAATGTTATCCTCATTATCTTTCTCTTGGCTGCTTGCCGTCTGCCTGCTGCTGTTTGACTGTGACATAGACTTTCAAAATGAAGGCGTACCCTAATGATGACAATATGGATTGATGTTTTCACTTTGCATCGATGACACTGGGTCGTTCATCATTTAATCAATACATCGATCCAGACTGATGGATCGTTACTCCCCTCTCTTTCTTAAAAACTAAGATACACTACAATATTGTCTTGACAGAGAGAATCTACATTTCAAATGTAAAACATAAATTTTATTAGACATGTGTCATACTTTGCTTCTGTATCATCATGTTGTGGTACTGATGTTCTGTATAAAATACTTTATTTACAGTACTCCCACTACAACTTAATCTAACCAGCAACAACCAATAGTGTCAGCACACACAACACAACAACCACAGGACATCATTTCACTCATGCCGTGGAGGAAAACATGTCGTTTCGCTTGGGAAATCAAGAGTTTGCAGCCCTGACAGCATGTGGCACATCATTACATAGATACTGTGTAATCTAGTAGATCTAGTTTTCTAGTGAGAGGTAAAGCGACGCTGTATACAGACCATCCAATACGAGACCCATTCACACCAAGCAGACGTCCCACCTGCGCCATGCATTACCATCTGAGAGATTTCCCAAATGTGTTTTCCAATGGGATTACACGGACTATAAGTCATAAAAATGTTCCCCTACACGACGCAGAAATGCTGTTCCTGCTTTGAAAACAAACTCCGAGGTGGGAGATTAATTTCACTTTACAGCTCAGAGGTTCCACTGCTACAAACTGGTTGCACTCCGTGTTTCTATCATTCATCTTTACCACCAAGAGTTCATAAAAACTGATTCCAAGTGGCTCCAGCTCCTTCAGTCATTGCAAATGTCTTCCAGGAAAAACAGAAAGGCAAACAAAATAACATCAGACCCTCACACTTTCCCTCTCCTTCTCTCCTTCTCTCTGTTTCCAGTAATGGGCTGAATGGCACCATATCAGTATATCCTCTGGAAGGCTCTATGGCTGGTATGATGCCGACCCCAGCCAGTGCCAACTCGCCCACAACTTACACCATCTTGGACGTCGACCAGAACGCCTACCTGTTTGTGGGAGGAATACTCGGCACTGTCAAGGTAGCTGTCTGTCGCTTTGGGCCTGTGTGAAACAACATCAGGAAACCTGTCTTTCTTTTTCTCATTCTTTCCCTCTTCCATGTTTCAGAAAGCAGACGCAGTACGATCAACGACATTCACAGGCTGCATGGGGGAGACCTTCTTGGATGGTAAACCTATTGGACTGTGGAACTACAGAGAGAGACAGGGAGACTGTAAGGGATGTGTTGTCAGGTACGCAAACACTTATTCACAAAGTTTTCACATTACTTATATACTTTTTAATATTCAAAAAGGCCACTTCATCATCTTCACTACTTTTCAGTTTATTTTTGTGACATTTTAAACTTCTTTCACAGTTAAAAAAAAGTAAAATGGCCTATTTCTTATCTGTGTTTTTAGCCCCCAGCGTTCAGATGGTGAAGGGATAGTTCAGCTGGATGGCGAGGGCTACGCCGCAGTGGGACGACCCACCAGGTGGAACCCCAATGTGTCCACCGTGACCTTCAAGTTCCGCACGTTTTCCTCTGAATCCCTGCTCATGTATTTGGCAACTGATGATATGGTATGTATGCAACGAAGTGAAACCCTAAAGATTCTAACCCATGTAAAGCCACGTTTCCACCAAACACTTTTGGTATGGAACCTGTGCGTAACCCTTACAGACATGCACCTAATACCTGGATATGGTTTGCGTTTCCACCACAGACAGTGACCTTAAATAAAAATAGGGTTGTTATCATTCTTGCTCTTTTTCCTCTTCACCGACGATGCAGAGGAGCATCTGAATCTCATTGATTGTCCACGGAACGGTGTTGCTCGCCTACATTTTCAGAGCAGTAAAGAACAGGCAGGATTGTTTAGCGTCTCTGTCACTCTGATGAGATATTTAGAAAATGGACAGTTTGTGCATGGAGCACTTGTGGAGCAAGAGTTACAATTCTCTCTTGAGTGTTTCAGTAAGAGGTATACAACTGTGGAATGCACTATCATCTCAAAATTAAAAAATGTCAGAACTCAAGGTTTTTAACACACATGTAAAGCGGTGGGTGAAACTGAGGCAAGTCTGTAATCAAAGACTGTGCAGGCTACAATCTGTTTTTTTGCCTCAGTTCTAATCAGACTGCCCCGACTAGAAATGTTCCTAGTCGACCAATAGCTGTCATTTAGGGCCATTAGTCAACTAGTAGCCCGCGTGTTTACGATATTGATTTAATTGTTAAATGATATATTTTGGGCAGGGCAACACAATGGTTTGAGTTGAAGGTGTGAGAAAGAACAGTATCAGTTACATTGTTAACACTGTGCTACATTACAGAGAAATACAAAACCGTACTAATGAACCTTCATTAATATAGGCCGATATTTTATCTACAAGTGCACGTCACACACTGAGCGAGCCGCCTGTTAATGACGCTGTTGGCAAAGCAGTAATGATTGTGCTAAGTGGCTAATGGGCATGTAGCTACTTCCATGTTTCAGATGATACGTCATGTTTGTAGTCGACCAGTGAAGATGAGTTTACATATCACCTTGGGTTCATCCTTCACCTTCTCAAAATGATCCCACACTTTGGATTTCCTGCCCTACATGTTATTAACTAGCCTGTGGAATAACCACAGGTACCAGCCCTGGAAATTAACCTGACTCCTGTCTGACTGCTGAGCGTGGCCTTTTCCTGTGTCTGTCCTTTCAAATTAAATTCCCACATGGTCCAGTCATATATGGTTTGATTTATTTTGAAAAGGTGGAGCTCCTAATAGAGTTTGACAGGGAGGAATGTAACATGTAAATCAACCTTTTAACCTATATCGCTGCACAATACTGTTATTGGATTGTTATTGGATTTTACTTGTCAGTACCTCACAACACTGTCTTCTTGGTTGTTTCTGTAGAAAGACTTTATGTCCCTGGAGCTGTCAGAGGGGAAGGTGAAGGTGAACTTTGACCTTGGTTCAGGAGTTGGCAGTGCCCTATCAGCTAACCGCCACAATGATGGGCGCTGGAAGTCTCTCACCATGTCACGGAACAAGAAACAAGGTACGCACAACAACAAGAGTCTACATCAGGAAAATATTAGGCTAATGTTGTATTCACATGGATCCAGGCAGGTGGACATCACCTTCTAGACTGCACGGGAAAACCAAAACATCAAAACACGCATGAGGATGTCAAAAAGTTAAATATTTTAGTGCCATCTACAGTTACGGTAGCTGGTATTCTCTGCTGGCCTCACCTAACTTTACTGTCCTACTCTCATCCACTAAAATGAAATCAGGTTTGCAATCCACTGTCTGCCTGGATCCATGTGAAAGAAATCTTACTGTTGATCTGAAATAAACTACAAAACCAAATTGTACTAAACCAGTTTACATTATAATAATCTAGATTACATAGGACTTTACATATTTATCTTTGCCTAAACAGGTAGTCCCATTAAGATGGATATCTCTTCAAGAAATACTGATGCACATGAATAAACATTCTCATAACTTCTATACACAATAGACAATTTCAAGTAGCATTTAAAATCCACAAATATTATGTTTTTAAAATAGATTTCACTTTCAAAGTACATTATCTCTGCCTGCCTGTTTATATTCATGTCTCTTTAACTGTTTACGAAGCCACGGTGAGCGTAGTGGACATCGACAGCGGTGCCGAGGAGAAGATAGCAGCCACGTCTCAGGGTTCAGCTACTGGTCTGAACCTCAGGGAAAACCAGAAGATCTACTTTGGAGGGCTGCCAACTATTGGAAACTACAGGTGCACACTCAAAGTTTTAACATTTTAGCATGAATTTATTGTAAAGAAGGCCATCATATATCAGCAGTATTTAATAAAGAGTGATGTGTTTTGCATTAAAAGTGAAGGAAGGATCTTTAAAATTTTGTAGACAATGGAAATTAGTCTTATTTATTATATTTAATGACATTTCATGATGTAAAAACTTCTGTAGACACTTTATTGCTGTAAAATTAAGCTGCTGAGTCTGTTTTATCACCCTGATTTAGTTGTTGACCAAAAACAATCAGCCTCTTCACAGTCAGTTACAACTTTTTTCGCCTACCAGTCTTGTCATTGAATCATGTGCCAGAATCCAGTGTACATGAGTCATTAGTTGACACTGTGTTGTGTGAAGTGTGCTAATGCTTTAATATCACATTTTGTCTTAACAGCATGACAGCCAGGTAAATAAATAAATAAATAAACACATCTCATAATCAGACATATAGTAAATATTTATCATATATTGCCCTCTGCATGAGGCTAGCCATGCTGATGATGCTGTACAGCCCACAATGAATGTGTGTGTGTTTGTTTGTATCTTGGCTGATCCCCCTGAGGGCTCCTGCTCCTCCACACAGCGGCTGGAAATCACTTTCTCTGTCTTTATTAATCTGAATTTGACGTTTGTCTGTTCAGCAACATTTAGGTGGAATTCCTCACATTTATGACCCTGCATCACTGGCATCATTGCCGTAATCAGATTCAAATTGTGTTTCAGACGCAGAGCTAAGTGTCTCTACCGATTTGTTCTTTGTAGCACTGCAAGCAACAGTTTTTGCTGAGTTACAAAAATAAAACCCTAAATCACTGAGAACGATTACAGAGGTGCATCAAACTGCTAATAGCATGTTCAGTGTGATCACAGCCCAACATTATGTGTTATTTTCCTTCCCTTGTGATTAATACTGTAACCTGAGCAAAAATTGATGCAAAAACTAATTATATAACAAATCAAATATATAGATATGGACAAACGGCATATTCAGGTTCTTCTTGTTTTTGATGTCCAACCGTCACTCTGCTTCTGGATACATGATGCAATAGCTTCACTGCTGCAGTAATTCAGCTTTTTTGAAATTATACTACACTGCTGAGAGACAGGAAATTCCATGGAGTTTGAATTGTTTTCAGCTGTATATGCTCTTTATTAAAACTATCATCATTTCTTTATAGGTCAGAGGTCACGCTGAAGCGGTATGCTGGCTGTCTTCGGGAGATTGAGGTCTCCAGGACTCCTTATAATCTCCTCAGCAGTTCAGATTATACAGGAGTCACTAAAGGATGTAATGTAGAGGTAAGGTTTTATGGCTCTACAGTGTATTTAAACTCTCAAAACAGTCAGATTATATTACAGAGATGTGACTGTCTACTTGCATTTATAGACATACTGAAGATGCACTGTAACATTTCTTTAATGTTTCTCACTAGTTCATATTTTAAAGGGTGCTAAGCCGATTTTTAACCAGCAATTTATCATAGCAATGTGGGTAATATGTGTAAATGAAGTATGTTAAACTTCCCTCAATCTCACCGGCGCCCACATCTTCCTGCTCGTCTCTCAGCTGAAATGATGATTGAAATGATTTTAGCTGGCTCTACAGCTGTTGCTCAGACTACAAATTCCAGTTAAATACAGCACTGACTTCAAGATCCTACTCCTCACCTTCAAGGCCATCCACAACCTAGCTCCTTTGTACCTCTCCCAACTCTAACATATCCACACCCCCACCTGCACTCTCAGGTCTTCCTTTTCCATCCACCTCACTGTCCAGCCAGCCCGCCTGACCACTATGGGGTCTAGAGCTTTCAGGCGCTCTGCCCCCTGCCTCTGGAGCTCCCTCCCACCGGACATTCGTAGCATCAACTCTCTCTCCACTTTCAAATTCCGCCTCAAAACTCACCTCTTTCAAATAGCCTATTCAGTGTGGCTCCTGTCCGTCTAGCCACACACATCTACTTTTTACATAGAATTTTATTCACTGAATATTTATTTTTTTGTTATATTAGTATTATTTTATTATTTAGTTATTTATTGTGTCATGAAAGGCAACATTTTATTTATTGCATTTTGGTATGTCCGCCACCACAGACACAAAGAGTATAGAAATCGATCAAGAGAGAGACCCGCCTACCTCTCCCCTTCTCTCAAACTCCGATCAAAAAGTAAAAGTAGGCATTGCTGATCACATATAAACCAAGATTCTGTCACTGCATTGCCTCTTTCTCACCTAAAATGTCTCCAGAAACATATTTTAGTGCACTGTTTGGCTGTAATACGAAAATTTGGGAACAGGAAGTAACTGCCTGTTGCTCACCCAAAATGTTTTCAGAAACATTTTAGCTTACCCTTGAACTGTAATTCGAGATTGTTTAGCAGTCTGAGCCCGGGCTCCTCCACTCTACATGTCAAAGTATCCTTGAGCAAGATACTGAACCCTAAATTGCTCCTGATAGCTGTTCTATTGGTGTGTGAGTGTGTTAAAACTGAGGAGCAGGTGGCACCTTGTATGGTAGCCTAGGCCACCAGTGTGTGAATGTGTGTGTGAATGGATGAATGTGACTCGGAAGTGTAAAAAGCGCTTTGGACAGATGACTAGAAAGGCGCTATACAAGTACAGGTCCATTTATCATTTATTACCAACCGGCTACCATATTGTTATCTATGTCCAAAACCAACAAGCTCCCATTACAACGTAAACCAGCAGGAGTGCCATACTGTTTCCTGTACTGAGTTGCCCATTTCTCACCTAAAATCTCTTCAGAAACATATTTTAGTGCACTGTTTAGCTGTAATATGTAAATTTGTGAACAGGAAGTGGGCGCCACACTGTTTCCTGTACTGAGTTGCCCATTTCTCACATAAAATGTCATTTTAGCTTACCTTTTAACTGTAATTCAAGTTTGTTTGTCACCAGTCGGCTACCACATTGTTACCTGTGTCAAAACGGACAAGCTCACGTTACATCACCCACCAGTGGGAGTGTTATTGGTCCAGTGCGGCACAGTGCATTTTGGCAGTTGTAGGTTTTCTACCTCTTGAGCAAATGGGAAGGCCACAGCTCCTTTTCATCTTTATACTGCATAGACAGCCAAGTTTGATGAATGATCTTATCAGCGAAATACTTCTCAATAGAGTTAGAAGAGTATGGCACATATGTAAAATTAACCATCTGCAGTACAGTATTTGCAAAATATAGATATGCCAAAACCTCTCTGTATAGGAGATCGTCCACTTACAGGGTAACATACTAACATATAAGTGATTTATCACATGTGTATATGTGTTTAAACATGTCAGACTGTCCGTGGATAGAAGGTGAGTGAGGCGTACATGGAAAACGAATGTACAGTATAAATGAGTTTTGGTCATGACATTTATAACCTGATTGACCTCTTCCTCTGACTCTATTCACTCTGTGTCTTACATACCTTACTGTATTCAGGAAGTGAAGGTTTCTTTCTGTCAAACATAAAATAGAAAAACAGAGAAAGTGTGAGCGAGTGAAGGTTGGAAAATGTAATTATCAGCTCAAACTCTCTTATGGCTTTTTTATTTTCTATTCTATTTACAATGAATCTATACACTCTGAACACACACACACACTTCCTCAATCGCCTTTTCTGTTTGTGTCATTCATGTTAACTTACACAAACACATATACTTGTGCATTGAATCTACTTTAGAGATTTTAAAGCCATAGAAAGCATTCACCGAGATTTCTATACACTGGTGCTTTTCATTTGAACAAACATTCAGCCATGCGCGCAGAGTATATAAAGACTGTATGGAGGATTATAAAGGCCCAGGGTTGAATGTATGTAGAGGGAAAGTCCTTCTGTTCCCCTTATCTTTTTTTCTTCCTTCACAGCCACTCTGCTATGCTACAAGGATGAGGGTTTCTGTGTGAGTGTGTATGTGAGTGAATATTTCCACTTTGCAGTCCAAGTAATGAGAAGTGGATGAGGACACATTTGATAGTTTTTGTAAAGCAGCATGCGTCTGAAAGTTGTCTCTTTTTGAGAGTAAAACCTTGACTTAAGCGTCAGCAGGAATTTAGTCTGATCATGTACTTTTCATCAACCAAACTATTTTTTTCACTACTTTTGCTTTTCAGATCTTTCTTTTACTTTTCCATCTGACTATGATTTGTAATATTTAAGACTAATTTATCCAGTCATTGAGGTATATTAACATACGATAACATCAGGGGATCAGGTGGGAATCAATATTATTGTGTTTTTGCGATGTGCTGAGTATTGTGACAACATATATTGCTATACATTGTGATTATAATTTTTTTTTTTCCAACTGCAAATTGTGTCCACAAAGAAAAACTCTGTCAACATTTGTTAAATCTAATAGTATCTAACAGTCTGTTCATCTAATGTCACCATTTTTATTGCAGCAAAATGGTTCTAGTGGACTTTGTTAGTCTAGTATTCTACCACAGTTAAATTTTTAGGCACAATATCAATAAGCTATATAATAAAAGAAACGATACTTGGATTTCTTGTATTGATACATTATTGCCACACAAAATATTATGATACTATGCTGTATCGATTCTTTTCCCCCACCCTAATGTACATTGACTGCAGCTATTTCATGTCTGTCTCACAGAACCTGTACACAGTCAGTTTCTCTAAGCCCGGATACATGGAGCTGGGTGGCCTTTCGCTGGCGGTCGGCACGGAGATCAGCCTGTCCTTCAGCACTCTGGCAGACACTGGGATGATATTGTTGGCAGTGGGCGGAGCTTCACCAATCGGCCAGCAGGTTCAATTTCATCTTTGTACATTTAAGCTGTGACTCACTTCCTTATCCAGTGCTTTATTTGACAGGTCTGTAAGTTCCTAATAATTTCTAGGAAGTTTCTTAGAAAGAACTTTGTGATTTGTTACTAATTTTACAGGAAGTAGGAATTTCCTTAAGGAAAAGCTCAGTTTATAACCAAATAACAACAATAATTCATTAGTGGAGATTCAACAATTTAGCTGTTTCACTTTATTCTGTAGATGAGTGGTTCCCAACTGGTGGGTCACGGCCCAAAAATGGGTCGAGGGTCCATTTTGAATGGAGCGCAAGAGACTCACGCACATGTTGTAAGTTTGTTAAAAAAAAAACAAAAAAAAACTTTATTTTGAAGTCGAGTGAATTTCTGGCACAGAACTTTTCTTTTAAAGTGCTGTTTCCTGCCGTAGAGGAAGTGACAAACAGACAGCTACTTAACAGAGACAGCAAACCAGCTCAACAACATGGTCAAATGCAAGTATGATGCTGAATGTATTAAACTGTGTGGACCTTGAACTAATGACAAAGGAGAAATCCAGACGTGGCTGGACCAGTTGGGAACCACTGCTGTAGCTGATTAACAGATTATGTATAGATTAATGTGACAGTTCACTATTCTCAGAATAATTCTGTTGAACTATTCTCACAACCAATGCAGCATAGGTTGCATGAATTTCAAAGTTCAACTAATTTATTATAAAAACATGCACTCTATAAATTAACATCTTCAGACAAAGTGAAATGGTTAAATTGTTGAATCTTGACTAATATGCTGTTGAAATGTTGTCTGTAGGCAAACTCTCCCAATAAAGGGTTACCTAATTTCTTATTGGATACTTTATTACTTCTGCCAAGGAGGAGGTTCTGTTTTCCGTTCGGTTAGTTTGTTCGTTTGCAGAATTATGGAAAAACTTCTGGCCTGATTATCATGAAACTTGGCAGAAGTGTGTAACATGAGCCAAGGAATAAACCATTCAATTTTGGAGTGGATCTGACTCACAGTTACACGAATTCTTTTTTGCTGTTGTTAACATTGTGAGACAGGGCATTTGGCCTTGGCCGAACCCAAGTGCTCTCTGTGCTCTCAAAGTAGCCTTGAGTTCTTTAAATGTGTTTAGTTGTGTGTGTTGTAGACCAAGCTGTCAAAGCACAAAAAAACACAGGTTTAAAGTTCAGAAAAGGTGGGTTCATTTTCCTAAAAAATACATTTTGCAAAGCGAATGACTAAAGATAACAGAATTTGAGTGATAGAACCCTTAAAGGAGGTCAACAAAACATCACTCTACTGACAAATAAGGCAAAGCAAAGCAAAGCAAAATAAAACAAAACAAAACAAAACAAAACAAAACAAAACTACGCAGTAACTACTCAAACAGACCTAACACAATGAATCAGTGGGGCAACATATATACTCACTGATCAGACCAAATTAAACACAAAGGGGAGAACTTACATAGGCAATACTTAAGATGAACTCAAAGGAACCCATAATCCCCCCCATGATGTCATAACTCTTAGTTCGTTCCGTGGGATGGCCTTCTGCATAAAACCAGGCTCCGCCCTCAGCCCATCTTTTGCCCAACTCCAACCAGGAAGTGACTTCAGGTAACTCAAAGACAAAACGATTTAATAACTTACAAAAGCAAATAGCAAAATGACAAAATAATGTTAACTAAATGTGCGTTAGTGATGGTGAAATCGAAGCTTCATGAAGCATTGAACCACTTTGACACACCTGCTTCAAGAATGACACACTGCTTCAAAGCATTTCATACAGTCAGAAGAGTGACATCTGCTGGCTGTGTGTCAGAACTGCATCTAAGCGGAAGACCTGGAAAAGCCTCAAGACTGCCTATAACGAGGCCTCGCTCCCGGTAGTCACGTGATTGTTGCCGTGCCGAAGCAGGGATTGAAACACTGCCTCGGAACACTTGCGCTTCAAAAGATCGACACTGTGTCGAGCAAACTGGCTTGAGCGTAACATCACTAATGTGCGTGCTTCACCTAGAAAACAGTGTGATGTCAAAGTGCTAATAGATTTTAAACTTAGAAAAACTGGTGTTGTGTGTATTTTAAGTGACTGAAAATTAAAGGTAACTGAACATGTGGTAATGGTGTGGGTGAGAATGGGAATCATTCCACCTTTTGGTGGCTGTGGGCACGGCCATCACAGTATGCCTCATATGTTCAGCTGATCTGCACTGACTAATAGACTCTCTGAGTCTGGTTACAGTAGAATTAATTGAAACTGATTGTTTGGAAGTGTACAAAACTAACACCCTGGGTATTCTTCAAAAACTGTTGACCTGTAAAACAAAGACTGACCAAATCTATATACTCAAGAACAGAGCACTAAATTAGCTTGACTTTTGAGGGTGCTGTTGATGTACACGGCTGTCCCACAATGCAATGCACAGAGTAAATAGGGGAGCTACACAGCTGCAAAACAATAAAAGGAATCTTGCGGGGAGATAAGACAGCTCCAGGAAGATCTTAACAAACAAATAACTTAACAATAAAATCTGTTGAAAACAATTTTCATTCCCTTCATGAGGTTTAATTGAGAGCTCTGTTTGGAAGTCGCAGTTGGAGTGACATCTTTTTGCTCACAGAGGTGTTATTTTCTGTTTGCAGAGATTGTAAAGGAACAGCAAAAAACGTATGCTATGACTGTAAACTATAATTATGTGGTAGGGAATCAGATAAAACATATATAAATCACTGTAAAAGATAATGACTCCTTCAGTCTGCACTGGCTCTATGTATTCACTAAATGTGTAATGTTATCAGCAGACGTTCAGCACAAAAAGAAACAGTTTGTGTTAGTTTGACTCCTGTAAAGACTCGGTAACCCAAACTTAATCAACCTTAAAAAAAACTAGTAATGTATCAACTCCTTTTTTTAGAAAGTTATTCTGTACAATGCAGTGTGTACATACTGCTTTTATTATGTCAGACATATGGATTTACTGTAGTCTGCGTTGCACCTTGAATTTTATTCTTAGTTATTGCGCCTACTTATGTGTAGGACTACAGATGGAAATTTGCCTTTCTCCAAATCTGGTGCAACCATGTTTTCATTTCTTCTTTCTAAATCAAATTAACTAAACTACATTTTTTTGAAAATCTTCCCACCACAGGCCCGAAACTCAAATGCCCTCAGCACCAAGAGGAGACGCAGACAGTCTGTAGAGGTGAGTTCAACACACTGACGCGCTCATACTCAACCAAAAGGCTGCGCACCTTTCCTTAAGTGAATGACTGTTTCATAAGTGCATATTAATGAGATTTGCATTTTTTGGCATCTGGGCTAATTGGATTGTCCAAAACACACACAAATGCCTACTGACAGATACATACAGTAGCTATCTTAGCTTTTAGCTGACCACGCAAGCACACACACACTTCCGTGCACACAAGCACTCCTCTTGTAAGTGAATGAAGTTTCCATAAGTGCATATTAATGAGATTTGAATTTGTTGGCAGCCATGCTGATTAGATTGTCTTACGGCTAAAAACGCTTTCACTCACTGCCAACACACACACATACACACACACACACACACACACACACACACACATGCTCACACACTAACATACACAGGCGCTTGAAGTCCGTACTGATACTGCCCACTTTCATCCTAATCACTGATAAATAAACAAATCCACTCCTTTATCTCTGCTGGAAATGACATGTATGTGTTGTGTAACTATCGTGTATGTGCACATGTATTCATATTTGCAGCTGTACACACTGTATTAGTGTCTGTGTTCAGCACGTGTGGTTGTTTGTGTGCGAGCATGCATGTTTTAGCATAATGTGTGTGTGCGTATCTCATTAGGAGGGCGTTGCTCACATGAATGTAAAATTGAAAGTGTACATGTGTGTGTGTGTGTGTGTGTGTGTACGTGAATGTGTGTGTGTGAGTGAGAGGACAGAGGGTTACCTCTAGCTTATCCATCATCACTGGTTGTTGGGCGCATAAATCTATTTTTACTAACTACGCTGGCAGGCAGGCCGTGTGTGTGTGTGTGTGTGTGTGTGTGTGTGTGTGTGTGTGTGTGTGTGGAGAAAGGTTAAGCGAGGTTAAAAACACCATCAACTCAACTTGGCCCTGACTAATGGATGTTTTAGAGAGGGACAGAGAGAGACGGGAAAGAGAGAAGGGGACAGGAGACAAAGGATGGAGGGATGGAGGAGAGAGATTTAGAGGTGAAAGGAAGGAGAGAGGGGAAAGAGCGGAGCTGGAGAAGAAGAGAAATGATACAAGTAGGGAGGATAACAGAGGGAAGGAGAAAAATGAAAAGATGGGGAGAGTTGATCGTCGACAGAAAGAGAGAATGGTCACAGAGAGGAGAGATGAAAAGGAAAAAGCTCGGAGCAGAATAAGGGGAGATGAAAGAGAGTGTAGTGAGAAGACAGAGAGCACGAGATGGAGAGAGAAAGGCAAAGTCAAAAGGGAGGACAGAAGTTAAAAAAATACATGTCCACCTAGACCTTTCACAAAATACAAGGGGCTCTAGTTTCCCGGCGCAGCGCAGGGTGGCGCAGGGTGGCGAACCCCGCGCAGAGCTAGTTTCGAGCAGCGCAACCGGAGGCTCGCTCAGTTTGGTAGTTTAGCAGACCGAGGTGCGCTGAGATGGGTGTGGCGGCGCAGCAGGGGGAGGTGTTGACAGATCCAGCTTGGCGCAGTGACAGTTTCGTGCCAAAAGGCTTCGCCATCTGAAACCAGGTCTACTGTCAGCGCAGGGGGAGCGCAGCCGGTGTAAGCCGAAGTTTGGCTGACCGGCGGACAGTGCGCACACGTCACCAAAACCTCACAGGCAGGTTTCCAGAATATCAGGCACATTAACAATGCAATAAATACCCACAAAACCACTATTCAATGCAACTATCTGCAATCAGCACATAAATGTATCTCTATATCGACTGTCCCGTCACATCTGATGTCAGATCAAAGGGGATTGGCACCGTTTGGCACGTTTGACACGCGTAATGGAAACCCAACCTGATTTGATTAACACAGCTGCAAACTAATGAGTTCACATTCCTCTCAGCCAACCACACACAGCCACAGCATCAGATAGGGAATATATATTCAGCATCTGTCATCTTAGAAAAGTCAAAAGAAAAGAAACAGAGTGAGACTGCGAGAGAGAAAGAGAGAGAGCGCGCACATGAGAGAAACGCAACATTGATTTACAATTGTGGTGACCTCCTCCCAGGCTACCTTTGCCTCATCAGCCCACGGAGGTCTGCTCGCAGTTCCGTATATTCGGACACTGCGAGCTTGGACCTCCCGGACCAAAACATCAGTTTCCTCCTGGGAGAAGTTTGGTTGTCTGACGCTGCTGCTCTCTTCTGCCATGGCGAATTGAGTAAACTCTCATTACGCCTTCGCGCGGCACATTTAAGGGCGAGGAGAGGGGCTCATTTGATTGGTGTGATGTGAATGGGCTGTGTAAAACCCACTCCACGCCTTCTCTCCTCCTTCTTTCCAACTTGCGCCGGTAGGAGGGATGGAGGAGGGATAGAGGAGTAGCTGCACCAGGCGCACGGTGTGCCAAACTTACAAAATCCGCCTGGCCACACCCAGTTGGCGAAGCGCAGGTGCACTGCGCCTCCGCTGCGCCCGGTCTGCGAAACTAGAGCCCAAGGTATTCAGCATCAGACTGTTTGGTGTGATAGAAGAATGAACAGCGAAGTAGATGAACGGCTGTGATGTTGGATATGAGCACTGCACACACAACAACAACATCAACAATAGATTTCTGGGGAATATCACAACATACAAAATGGAGACTGGAGACTCCCCATGCCCTCAGAAAAAAAGCACCTCTGGTTTTCTGTTTATGTCAAGATACAAAGAATTTGTTTTGTTTGTAGTTAAAATGCCTCTTCAGCTACAGTATTTTATTGAGGAGCTTTAGATGCTTGTAAAAGTTTGTAAATAAAAGACTGGCAATTTTTCAAGTTACTATTATTCTTTTTTTTTTTTTTTTTGCAGGTAAGCTGACTGTGGGATTAAAGGAACACTCTCCCCCCAAATGTCCACTTGCATATCAGCTACTCAGCCAGTGTTATGTTGAATTTGGGAGGATTCTTTTTTTCATGTTGCCAGTGCACGAAGAAGCCAAAAACGGAGAAAATTCATAGGGGATTGTGTTTAAGGACAGCAAAATTACACTGCACAAACAAATTAAGGGAACACTTAATGGTCACAGTCCGTTAAACTTCAGGGATATCAGTCTGTCCATTTAGGAATCACAACTGATTGTGAGTCAGCTTCACCTGCTGTGGTGCAAATGGAAGGTGCAACAGGTGCAATGGAGAGACAAAAGCAAGACAACCCCCAAAAAGGGAATGGTTTTACATGTGCACTGCCAGAGCCCTATGAAATGACCTCCAACAGGTTACTGGTGTGCATGTTTCTGACTGAACTGTCAGAAACAGACTCCATGAGGGTGGCATGAGGGCCCCACGTCCTCTAGTGGGACCTGTGCTCACAGCCCAGCACCGTGCAGCTCCATCATTCACCAGAGAATACCAGAGTCGACAGGTCCGCCATTGGTGCCTGGTTCTCCTCCCAGATGAGAGCGGGTTCACACTGAGCACATGTGATGGGCAGGAAAGAGTCTGGAGCAGTCATGGTGAAGTTATGCTGCCTGTAACATCATCCAGCATCACCGGTTTGGTAATGGGTCAGTGATGGTCTGGGAAGACATGTCCTTGGAGGGTCAAACAGACCTCTATGTCATAGCGACTGTCAGTGGGCCCTGGGTTCCTCCTGGTGCAGGACAATGCCCGGCCTCATGTGGCCAGAGCGTGGAGGCGGTTTCTGGGTGATGAAGGCATTGATGTCAATGACTGTCCCTCTAGTTTCCCTGACCTAAATCCAATTGATCACCTATGGGACTTTATGTATCGGTTTAGAGCTCTGCGCGGGACTGTTTTCTTCATCCCGCTCCTGCCCATTCCCGCTGAATTTCTGACCATTACCGCCCGCAACCGCAACGTGTGTGTTACACTCCCGCCCGCTCCCACAATGTGTATGTCCACTCCCACCCGCTCCCGCAAAACTGCCGCACAATAATAGAGATGCATTGATTTTGTGTATCCTCCCGTCCCACAGGAGAAAACACGTCATTTTATAGGCTGTTCATAAAGAGATTCATGGGGTTGTTTGTTTCATTTCCCTGGCCTGCATGTCTTTTGACGCACTGGTCAGGAATAGCGCTCTTATCTCGTTGTTTTCATTTAGTTTTTAATGAAATAAAGGCTGTTTCATATTCTATTCTCCTCCTCTGTATTTTACTTATATTTCTACCTTTATATAATCACGCAGTGATTGAGGTTAAGGTCTCTTTTCTAAGAGAGATCTGAATAAGAAACATTAATGAAATAAAGATAAAGCCTATGCTCAATAACACAGGCATCATCACGCCTCTTTATGTAATTAACAAATAGCAACGAGAGTAGGCTGTGAGTGGCTCAAATAACACTAATAAATAACATAAAATAAACAAAGTTAACGAATGAAATGAATGAATTTAACAAATTAATCACTTGGCCATAATATTGCTGTGGAGGAAGAGAATGTTGCTGACCGACTGTGGTCCCAATCCCGTGCGTCTCTCTTCCAAGATACGTCCACAGACACTAAAGGCCCGCTCTGAAGGCGCACTGGATGCGGGGATACTGAAGATTAAACGCGCCAGCTTTGAGCGCACTCAGTGCGCCTTCAGACCTTGTTTGAGCTTCTTCTTTTTTTCTTTCATTTGTTAACTCCATCCTGTCACTATAGGCTACATCCCGAGCCGGCAGTGTTTTTTTCAGCCGCCCGTTCCCGCCCACAGCAAAGTTCAAACCGCCCGCTCCCGCAAGATTTGGGTTGGGTCCCACGGAACCTGGCGGGACCCAATCCCAATGCAGCCCTCTATATCGGTGCATCCAACACCACTAAGTACGGCCACAGACTGTCCAGGAGCTCACTGATGCCCTGATCTAGGTCTGAGAGGAGATCCCTCAGGACACCATCTGCCGACTCATCAGGAGCATGCCCAGACGTTGTCAGGAGTGCATACACACTACTGAGTCACATTATCAGTTGCTGTGATAACATTCACACAAGTTGGATCAGCCTGTAATTTCAATTTTTTACTTTGATTTTCGGTGTGATTGAAGATTGAAGAA